GGAGGGCTGACCTGTGTGCCTTTGAGGTTGTTTTCTATCAAGGAGAGTAGTACAACTTTCCTACTAACAAGTCATTCATGACGATAGGCAGTAACTTGGAAATGTTCCCTTTTTTTAACGTGCTGACGATTCTCTACCAGCCTGGAACAGTTGGAAAAAGGGATTGCCACCAATGTATGGTTGACAAACTATTTGAGCCCACACCTTAGCATCAACTAGTGGTTGATGAATCAGTCCATAGAAATCAGCACCATCTGTAAAGCACTATCATACCCTGAGTATTATTGTTGAGTTTCCCATCTTGAGTGAAAAATGACATTTCTGTAACCTAATCAGTTTTTTTCTTTATTTCAGACGAAGACGTTATCGAGTTGTGCCATCAGATGCTGCTTCTTTACCTGACACTGGAGATGAGAAAGACCCTTTTGACAATGCCCAATAGGTGTCTTGTCATCACTCCTAAGTTGCAGTGCATCAAATTTTGTCGAGCCAAAAAGAAGGAAGTATTAATTAACTCAGATACTGCGTTGTACCAGTATTTGCTTTTTCTTAGTCATCAAAGCAAAAAACCTGAGTTTTTCTGGCATCGAACTTAGACAAATTTCTTTTCTTTATCTGGCCCGTACAATCAGCTACAACCCCATAAAAGCTTATTGTAAAATATACAGGCAGAAATGTACTTACTGTTGCCTCATCTACTGATTGTGTGCTATGCTGAGAAACAGACTACCGAAAATCAACCTCGTGCTAAATATGACATAGATTTTAAAAAAGAAAAAAAAAGAGTTTAACAGGAAATTGTAAAAAAATTGAAGGGCAGATACTTTTGAGATGCCGGAGGGAGATATTTAGTTGGGACAGCCAACTGTGACTTTGGTCTGATGTGAAAATATTGTGTGATGTCCCACCAGCAATGTAACATTTATAATAATGCATTTGTATGGCAAGACCTTAACTTCGGCAGGTGTCATAACATATCAGGCGCCAATCACTGATTACCTCTTGTCTGGAGTCCCTGCTTGTTAGCATGCTGTGCGTGCATATCAACTCTCCCTTGGTTTGTTGTTTTATTGGTGAACAGCTAAGAGGTTCTGTAATGGGTAGAAGCCTATATCTAAAGCAGTGTCTGGCATGGATGAATGCAGAATACTTGTACACTGTACAGCACTGTGGCACTGAACTGCACATTCATGGAATATTTGGAGAAAGTTAGTCATCCAAAGGGGGGGGGGAGAAACTGATGGCTTTAGGATCAGTTTATGGCTGTCCATGTCTGTCTGAATATGGGAAAACACTTAAAACAGTGGTTCCTGGAACTTGGGGTCAAGTGTCATGGTCGACCATTTAGTGCTGCTGCTGAGAGGTTTGTGTAGACCTCAGGCCCTCTAAGCTTGGGAGAATTAGTTATTTGCTCAGAATACAAGATTGAGGACTTTCTAAACTCCTCCCTTTCTGCTCTCAAAGTAGAGAGCTTGTTAACAGCCCACTTGAATAATTTGGCAAGGATTTGTTGTTAACTATGTGTAAATGGTCTACGCATTTTTGATTTCACAGTCTTGCAGAAGTGCACAGTGCACAACTGTAGGTGATGTCTTGGTATCTATAGTCACATTAACCTTTGAACTCTCTCACTAGGGGTCTCAGAGTATATCAGCTTCTTTAGATTTCTTATCCATGGCAGTGTGCATCTTAAACGGATCACTACTTCAACTTAGATATCAAATCAGATACCAGGCAAAGGCAATGTCATGACTTGTGAGGACGGCTTCTTGCCTCACTGACCTTTGACACTGGATCAACGAATGTTACATAATTTACACAGACACACATGGGTGCAGTCTCAGAAGACATTGCCACAAGTTTGTTGGGATTATGAAGATAGGTAGAGCAACCAACATGATCTCAAAAGCTATCGAGACATTGTCTCAAGATGTTTAGTAAGTTGGATCTCTGCTGTGCAGTGATAAATGTAGGTTGTAGGGGGTGTCAAACATGCAGCATATGTGATGACAATACATGTACTGACATGCAGGGTTGTCTAGTTGAAGAGTACATTTCCCCTAAAGGGTGTTATTTGACGGGAACATAAATCATGGGGCTCAACAAGCAAGTGTTGTTTACATCTTCCATAGTCATATCCCCCTTCGATGTGCACTCTGTTTCATTACATTCAAACTTCAAGGGCTATTCTTATCTTATTTTGATGTGTGTGGACAAAGTAGCAAATGTTCAATACTACATGAAATATATCAACATGGTAATATTTATTTGTACAGTGCGGAGTGTTGTCGTAAATGTTGAGGAATTAGTTGAATCTTATCTTGGCCCATTTTCAGTTGGGATTGGTTTTATCCTCAACCTTGAAAAACAAATCAAGCAATAAAATTCTTTGAGAAACTATACGCGACTCTTGATTTTTTTTCCCATCTATGCAGAATGTTTGAGTATACATGTGAATTGAGATCAGAAATCCCTAGAATTGGTGAACTGTTTCATATTTAAGATTAGTCCTGATTGAAGTTCATTTCTTCAAGTGCATTTCTTTCTGTGATCTTACTCCCAAATGCAACTACGGTCTCACTTCACCTGTAAAGTGTCACCACGCTTGGTAGAACACCACCGTTATATATTCTCATGCAAAGCATTTCTAAGTTTATTCCTTCTGTCCTCCATTTCTTATATTCCCTGAATTATAGCAGAACCCCAAAAGATCCGAGGATGAATTAAATCGAACAAAAATAATTTTGTTTGGAGTAGCAGTTTGGAAAACTATACATAGTCGGTAAGAGGATTCTATATTTTGCACTGTCTTTTTCAACATAGCTTTTAACGTTTTAAGTATATTTTCTGCATGTTTTTAAACTTTGAAATTAGTCTCTTGCATTTGTTATTTAAAGAACTAAATTCAAAGCAAACCTGTGGTTGAAGATCTGGATTTCTTGAAATGAATGGAGTTAGTGTTGTACCAGAGTATATTGTATCAATGAAGAAACAGTGTAAAGAATTGTATGCTAAATGCATCTGTGAAATAGTTTTGTATGATGACAATGTATATGTTATAAGCAAGGGCTTGGATGTACGTTTGTTTCTGTTACCACAGGAAATTTGAATGATCTCAAAATGTGAGACAAAATGTTGAAGGATTCTGACCGTAGTGTGAGTCTTTTTGCCATTTGTTTGTAATCTCTTTGCAAATACTGTAGTTGCTGTGACCTTGGGAGTTCATGCAAGACATAAACTTAAGATGTGTTCAATTTTAGTTGTGTTTTGTCTACATAATTTGACACCATGTAGGTGGTGTTGGACTTATGTTAGAATCAACAGAAAGCTGCTGGAATGTGTCTGAATGGTTGGGTTAATTATGTTACGATAAGGCTATTTACTGCACACCTGTCTATGACATTTGTCATCTTCATTTGTTTATAGACAGTCGTTAGTTTGCAATTTGGTTTCAGGTTCATTTGAAGACTCTAATGCTACAGAGATTTACTTTCACAGTCAAGGACTAATTATAAATATTAATTTATGGATTTGCTGTATCAATAGCCTTGCTTACATGTATGTCCCAAGAAACTTTTGATGGCATTGCAACAAGACTCTTAAAGTTAGAAACATCTTCAACAAAAATTATTTGCCTTGAAGATAAATTTTCTCTTTTTGAAATACCAACTGCTATTTCTGCAAGGTCACAGCAAAACTTTGTATCATCACTGTTTCCTATTTATTTGTGTTTTCAACTGAAAATGCTTCAATTTCTCACAATACAGTTTGAATTTATTATTTATTGATTTCATGTCCGGTAGAATGAAATTGTATTTATTAAAGAAAAAGGTTTTAACAAAGCGAGCAGCATTTTTACTAATATTGTTCTATAAAAAGATATTTGCCAATGCCATTTATAGAAATTTTTTATAAAATGGTGAATACACCTAAAAAAAAGGGTGTGATGTTTTTTTATTTTTGTCTCTGTGTTAAAATGTGGAGGGCAAATTGAATATGCAGCTGATAACTGTGGATGAAAATTGACTACGGCCAGTATCTAAAGTGTGGATATTTTAAACTTTTCAGATATGTGGGGACATATTTCTGCTGGGCAGCGGTGTGTCCTGCCGTGGGGGGGGGTTGAGCAAATTCAAAAGCTAATGCGGCTTAGTGCTCATTCAATGTGAAGTTGGGGAGAAAAAAAATCAAAAGCCTCATGGTGCCGACATCTCTGCTTGTATTGGTGTGGTGTTGTTTTCTTAGGGTTTTGGTGCTAATGTATGATAAAATAGATATTTTTCATTAATATTTGATTTTAAAAAATCCATCCACCCGCTGGATATGCCACTGCAGCTGGAGGGGGGGGATCATGTATCCCCCTCCAGTTGCCCCACAAATTGTTGAGAGAAATTTTGAGTGCTGGCTTCAGAAAGATTGCAAACAGGGACATTGATGCATAAACTCGAAATCTGAAGTATCCATGCATATTTTGAAAATGAGATTAATTCAATGTGTCAAAAAATAAGAGAAATATTGGGGCACTTTAAGAACATCACTTGCCATAATTTTTTCCGATTTAAAATGTTTCAATCGGATGCTGATTATTTGTTAATGGAAATTTAAAACCTGAAAATTGTAGAAACCATACCACAACCTAATGACAAATTGATCTCAAAAGTGAAAAACAAAGCAAAAAACACACACCCATTTCCACAGTTTATTGCCATTCATAGGTTTAAATGTATATACGTATAGTGTTAAGTAAAGCCCAGCATAACCAATACAATGTCATACAGTGTGTGTACTGTAAAGATAATCAGAAATACAGAGAGAATCGGTATGTGTGGTTTGGTACCCTTCTTCAATGCTCCAGAAAGCACCTGTTGAAAGCACCTGTTGTATTACAGCAGCCATGCATGTTAGCTTTCAATGCAGCATTACAATGCCATTTTGCTCATGTCCAACAAATGAAGAATTTTTAAGGGAACCCTTTTTGTTAAAACTATTAAAGCTAAAGCTAAAAATGCTTCTCAAATGAAAAATAATACCGTGATTCTAAGAAGCCTAGTACTGTATTTTTTTCTGACTTGCAATTTGTTGAATATCTGCAGAGGTGAGTACAGTCAAACCTTAATAAGAGCAATGTTGATACAATGTTCTGCTCATAACAGGGAAATTTTTACTTCCAAATCAATCCTTGTCATCCATTCTTTTAATTCCTGATAATACAAGGTTCCTACTATAACAATGTAATTGGATCTTTCATTAATGAGGTTCAACTGCATAAATAACACTTTGCACAACAGATGGAAATCCAATCCTACACATATTGCCAACATTTGCTATCCTTCCTTGCATAGCTGACACAAATTAGTGGAAATCCCCCATAATTACATTTCCAAAACAGCTAATTTGCTGCAGCATTTTGTTATAAAGCTTCTGGTTACTTGAGCAACTGGTACATTTATGCAACAATTGATAAAATCCTTTGTCATTGTTCCAGAAGGAAACAATTCAGTATTCACCTTGTCTCCCTGGCTTAAATGGTTGGACTTCCACAGAAAAGAAAACGAAGAGGATTTTCAAAAGTATTGTATATTTCCTGAAAAGTATTACCGTGGACCCAGGATATTCAGGCAAATTACGTGCCTTCATTGAAGGAAACATCAAAATGCCAAATTACTGTATATATGCAAACGTTCTTTCATTACACAAAAAACACACGCTTTCATGTTGGTTTGCATTAAATGATCATTAGACAATATTTTTCAGCTTGACGTGTTTATGTCATATTGAAACAACACATGCAAAAATATATACAATTCCTCAACTTTCTAAATTTGCCAAATATATACCAAAAATTAAAAAAAATACAATATTGAAGGAAAAGGATACTTTTTGCTAAGTGCTGTGTGTAAATTGTACCACTTTGCATGTCAGCTGCATTTGGATAAAAATTCCTCATGCAAAGTCTTCTACTTGGTAGTTGCCTAATATTGACTCCCTCCAACCAGTTTATTCTTGCCAGTCTACAAGATAATGAGTAAAAAATCCTACAACCTCTCTTGTAAAAGCACCCGCATTTTTATTGGAGTTGTGGAAATTATTAATCCCAGCCTGTACCATCACCAAGTAAGCAAATTATCTGCATTGTAATATATTTTAAATTGTAAATGGTACAAAAATACATTCCATTTTGCCACTCTCATGACAGATATCTCTTAAAACATAGATATTTACTAGTGTTTATTTCTAGAAAATATAGGGAAATAGTAAGGGAAGGAATAGTCAGTTATTTTAAACAATCTGATTAAGTACAATCTTGTGACTATATTAGTGTCTTTTATACCAATAACTAAAGTACAGTGGACTGGCATAAGCCCTTCTCTAAATGTTTAAATATAAAATTATACTCAACAAAGTATGTTTTACATTACACCAGTCATCTGGATTTTAGCCATTCACAGCCGGATTTGGCTACAGAGTCATGTCTATATTCATGTCTATATATATGAAACATATGATAAAAAAACGATTGATGGAAAAAACCTGATGTTGAAAATGCAGTGTTACAAAGAATTAAAAACTGTGTCTATTCATCTGATTGGCTATCAAAAGGGTGCATCTATGTTGGAAAGTTGTTTGATTTTTTATTTTTCCACTTTGATACATTTGGAGGTTGTATACAAACATCTTTTCAAATGCTACCTTAAAAATTGAATTTAATTGGAAAGGTTTGCATGCTATTATCCTTTCAAAGCTTTGGAACTACTTGGCAAATTTCAAAGAAAGAAAGGCACACTGATAACTTGTAAAGCAGCTAACACATTCTTGCTTGCACTTTCAAAAGGCACTGCATCAAGAAATCAATTTTTGATCAATCAACAATATCTAATTCTTTGATTTGGGCCAGACATGATTTAAAAATCTTCATCATTGAAACACTTATCAAGTTCTATAATGTCACTCATCATGGATTCAATGTATAGATGATAAAACAGGCAAGCTTACACTGAAGAGTTCAAAATCACAGAAGTATATAAAAGCTACAGCATTGTAAAATAGATATATGTCCTCTTTGCTTTAGAAGCCAGAAGTCTACAATGTATGTACACAAGGCAAGAGTTACATTCATCAGAAAAGAAAGTAATCCCATGTGAGTTCCCATAGAATCTCTGCACCAATTAAAGTTATGTAATCAACTGATGTAAAATCTACTCATTATCAACACTTCATTTCAGGGAATTCTTTGTAAACCGAGTTGCTTCTGCTCACTACCATCTCTCCTCTACAATATACCCTCCCCCACCATACAATGGCCCCTCCCCCACCATCTTCCCTCTACAATGCCCCCTCCCCCACTATATCCCCTCTACGATGCACTTCGACCAATAGGAACAGAAAAACTGTCCTGCGTATTTATGAATAGGAGCTTTAACAAGAATTTTAAGCCCACGCAGACAGTAATACAAATAGGTTACATCTGAGCATAAAGGCCTTTGAATAACAAATTTATTTGGTGATGGTGGCTATGCCCCTCTAGAATAATTTTCAGTGGATTTCACAATTTCCTATTTTTTAAAGAAATTTCAATTAGAAATATTTAGCAGCTAAGATTACAGGTGAAAAGATTGGTCTTCCAAAATGCAATGGCCAACGTAACCTTATGCAATAGCTGGAGTGACTCATTACATCTAATGTACTTCTGCAATTCTTCAACCGGATTAGGCTGTTGCCATTTAGAAATAGGATTTTTATTGTTTTATTTTTTCTCCTTTCTGGTTTTCTCTAGGTAAGTCTTGATAATGTCAGCTGCATCGTCTCTACCAATAAGCCTCAAATGCTCCTCAAGCTCATTCAGAGGACGATTCATAGTTTCAAAGGCTTTCAGTACTTCCATGGTAGGGTTGATTTGCATGTCAAAGCAGTAGATCATAGCATCTAGACCAAGCTGGCTGGCCAACATACGCCAATCGTTACCTGTTGCTACCTTGGTGTCCAATAGTAAAAACAGATCTCGTTTGACGGCAAATGGCAGCATGTTGTCCTGCAAACAAGTGCTGGCAACAGCATCAGCAGCACGGCTTCGACTTGGCACAGAGCGGGCATGAGGGGTATCCCTGGGTCTGTCAGCAATGAGGGAGGGGCTTGGTCTCTGAGCTAAGGGGGCAGAGGAAACTCTTGACACTGCCTGATGGCATCTGACAGGAACAGTTGTTGGCTGTGGCAAATGTGTATGGAGGTAAGGCACAGGGGCAATCACCGGGTACTTTTCCTGAAAAAATACACACAGACTCATGAAACGAAAATTGTGCCAAAGGTTCAAGTGGTACGAAAGACATAAACAGGAAGAATTCTGTAAAGACTGTACATGTAGCGTCAGCACACTAAACACATCCAATCCATACACTGCACCCTTGTCTTTGTGTCCCTCAGCTGAAATTTAATGTGAAGATGAAAAATTATATCTCAAGCTAAAAGTAGGCCATTTGGTCAACAGGAGTATCATGCACAGCTGGTGTTGCCACAAGAGGAAAGGGTCAGCATAGTTTGAGGTGGACAGGTGGACTCGGGTCGGCATAGCTTGATGTACTGGTGCTTACAGTAGCTCATGCAACCATTTCACATAACAGTGACACTTGAAGCACTGCCAACATGAACTTCAATGAACATTCACAGCGTTGCCCAAACAAATTCAAGATGACCGGTCTTGAACTTCAACAAATATTCACAAAACATCCAAAACAAAGCCAAGAAGATTGTACTCAGAATTTCAGTTATACTACATATCATACTAGGGTCAGGATCACTGTCAGTAAAACTATGATAACTGTATCTATCAAGCTACAAAAACTGATGGCTGTCACGTCACTATATAAATGACTCTGACACCAGTCAGTGATGACATTAAGTGGTACTGGTCAACCCAGACTCTGTGATGGACAAGAGGGAGTGTAAAATAGTAACACTATGGCAAGTGGTTTTTGTGGCCAATTATAGCTGGGATGTTCTCATCACTGGAATATTCAGTGGGATCTGGGGGAAATTGCAAGTACCCCCTCCCCTCCCTGGGTCATTCAGTGGGATCCGCAGCCATTGCAAGTACCCCCTCCCCTCCCTGGGTTATTCAGTGGGACCCGCAGCCATTGCAAGTTGTCCCCTCCCCTCCCTGGGTCATTCAGTGGGATCTGCAGCCATTGCAAGTACCCCCTCCCCTCCCTGGGTCATTCAGTGGGATCCGCAGCCATTGCAAGTTACCCCCTCCTCTCCCCTCTCTAGGTCATTCAGTGGGACCCGCAGCCATTGCAAGTTGCCCCTTCCCCTCCCTGGGTCATTGCCATTTTTCTGTTCTTTTTAGAAATTGAAAGAGGTATCACTTTTCAAACAATGTCACCACCTTTGAAGGGGTGATTGGAGTTTTTTCATGGATGAAAATACTTGGACCATTGTTTTAGGAAAAAAATTCCATTTGCCAATCCTGGATCCAGAGCCTGGAGGCACACTGGTCACTCTCTATGCACAACTGATAACACATACACAAGGGAGGTTTTAGTAATAAGAGCTAAGCTGGATGCTGATTTATCAATCACTTTGTCAGGAGGGAATGTGAAACCCATTTATAAGTGAGTTACTGCCTCATTGCTTTGTGTGCACAATTCTGATGCTAACTTGTGAAACTTGTGCTGTCTAGTCTGTGTTGCAGTGATGGCCCAAGACACACATGCACTACATTTATTAATCTCCAAGGAATCCTGATAGCCCATTGTGATTACTTCAACTTTGTCACAGAAAAATACAGCTTGGAAAGCCCATTCCATTGTTTATGTTATTTTGTTTACCAAAATTGGGTCATTACTCTTTATGTGAGCAAAACATTTTTACCTAATAAAATTGACATTGAAGAGCTACATACAAACATTGATGACAAGTGACAACATCAATTAATCTTCCAGCCAGCCACCTTGAGCACAGTGAAGCAGACATTAGTTATTAATGATTGAACTATCTATGCTTAAAACAGCAGCACAGCGTTACACTATGAACCAAGGTTGGATGTGGCAATTGACTTACGCTCTACCATGACGAGATTGCTTTTTGGGCCGTGATCTCCACAAGTCACCGTACAAGGATACCGATTGTGAACGCCTTGTTTTCTTTTATCAGTAATTTGAAGAAAAATAAGGTATCTTCACAACTGGGTTGTTATGCCATGATCAGTACTGTAAACTTTTTTACTAGTTTAAGATGAATTTTATAAAAGTCCAGCTTTGTTACTGAAGCCTCATTTTTTTAAAAATGCAATCTTTAGTTTTATTATACAATGTTTGTGGACTGCTTAAATCAGCATGGTAAAAAAAAGGGAAATTTAGACTTTTGAAAAGCTGAAAAGAAGAGTATACAACCTCCAATTTAATCAAGGATTCTATTTGGCAAGCGAAAAAATTAGGTCTTCAAAATTAAGAAAGAATGCCCAATTTTTTGTTGTTGAAGAAGAATGGACATTCTGTACAATCACAATTGTAGTGCATAAAATTTGACATCTCTTCAATAAACTTGCAATGCATGGCCATTATTATACGCATGACATATGAACAAGCCTTTGGTAAAAAAAAACCATGCGCATTAATCTATATCAAAGCAGATACCAGAGTTACCAGCCTATGGCAACAACTTCCATGTTAGTTCATGCTTACCTCATTAGAGAATTGTAGATTCATCTGAATGGGGTACTTCTCTGCATCTGTATTCTCCTGCCACACATTGATTGTGCATTGGCCTGTTGGATTCTTCTTAATGATCTCTGCCATGTAACATACCAGTTGTTTTTGCCAAACTTCCTCAGATGTAATTGTCTGAAATATAAGAAAACATGAAATTCATCACCACAAGGATGTAGCAGCCAAAGTGTGAACCGTATATCATGCCAATAAACGTTTTAATAGCAAAGACTAGTTAATTTAGGGGACAAAAATTGGAGTTTGTAGGAAAAAGATTGTCTGTCAGTGTCTGTACATTACCAAACTATAGTGTGATACAGAAATGTATCTTAAAATGTCTATAATGAAGAAAACTGTAATGACTCAAGTTGATGACTTGACTTGAGTCCGACTCAAGTCACAGTTTTGGTGACGCGTCTTCAGACTTGATGGGTAAATGACTCGATTTGAGTCTATGCAACCAAATGACCAAACTCGACTCAAATCTCTCATGGAGACTCGACTCCAGTACAAGCTTATAAGACTCAAGCCTCAAAAAAAAAATTAGAAACAAATTGTAGTTGGCTAGATACCTGTCACCTTAATTTATGTTCAGTATATTTAAATGAAAATAACAATTACCAAAAAATGACTTACATGTAGTTGTACTGTTATTGTATTTTGTTCAGAAATTTGTGACTCAATTGACTCCAGCTAGGTACTTGACTCGACTTGACTACACAAAATGACTTGATTTGTCTTGTTGACCTAATGACTTGACTCGAATCACAATGTGAAAAGGAGTCGACTTGACTTCAGTCACCAAAGTTAGTGACTCATTTACAACACTGATAATGAATGTAGCATATTCAAAATTGCCTTTCTGTTTTTAATTCAATGTATTCCTACTGATGAGATAGGAGAAAACGTCTGCATCTAGTACACGATAATGGCCACCATAAACAAGACGTGATTACCAAATAGGAACTTATTTGGTGCTATGGGATAAGCTTTATACAAAAGAATGTTGGACACAATACCATTGGCTCATTGCCTCCAAAGTATAACTCCATTCCTTCCAGCTCGGACATGTTCATCAAAATGTTATCCTCAGTGTTTGCCAAGAAAAAAGAGCAGGAGATGTCACAGAGTCGACCACGGTAAGTGTTCTCACGTCGTTGGATCTCCTGCAACCAAAGTGATAGATCAACTTGACAGCACTAGTATCTTTAGTGATGAACACAAATACCATGGTAGAAGTTAGCACATATGAGCACATCTTTAGTTGGACTAGAAGTATAATACTACTTATGTCCATTTTGCACACTTTATGCTTGGAAGGTGCACAGAACAGTGCCGATATACCCTAATCACAAATATTTCAGTATTTCAAGTTGGGAGATTAAGTGTGACATAACATCATAATACATGCACCAATAATTCAGGTCTGTATGCTTTAAAATTGGAATATTTCTTCTCCATTTTTCTTAATTAGCACACAGAAGGCTTCTTACATCATGCTTCTGTACATGTAGAATCTTCTTCAGAAAATTAAGGTAAACATTTCATTTTAGTTTACATTGACCAAATTAATGTTTTTTTTAATCCTTACATGGAGAACATCGTCACTGCCATTATCCCCAAAGAAGTACACCCTGGCTACCAAATGATCGTCTCCTTGTTCTGAGGAGATGTAGGTCATACAACGAATTAGCTTGCCGGAAATACTCTCTGACGGAACCATAATGGCAAAGCAACCAGTCCTTGTAGTCTCAATGAGGAAGTTGCGGTAAAAGGCTCTACAGGTCATGTTGAAACTACCTTGGTCAGCCTTCTCCCACTTGAAGAACTTGCCTGCATTCACAGAAAATAACAATACTTTCCTTCAACTTCTGCCACAATTTATTGGCAAAAGTTGTAACAAAATGAATAGAAATGAGGAAATTGGGGCAACATTGCTAAGAATATTAATCTTTAAACAAAAGTTTATTAAAGGTTTCCTCAGGTTTATTCCTGCCTACATTATAATAGCAAAAATGTTTCCCTTCTCCTTCTCCTGGGGGTCTGAGTGTTGCAGGAAAAGAGGGCAAAAGATACCACTTTAGAAGCTGGTTCACTGACATTAATAGTGACTTTAACTTTATACAGGGCTTACGAAATATTACCTGAAAGTTAATTAAGGTTACTTACAAAATTCAACTGTGGTCTTTATGGGTGAGAGAAAAGCAGACATATCATGTTTCACCTTGCAACCAAAACTCTTCAGTATCTAGAAAATTACTTGCCCTAAAACCTCTTCCAAATGTGCCAGAGTTTACAGCATTGTATATTCCAAATTGCTCTTAACAAATGATGTAAATGTACTGTACGTTACCTGGGTCTTTCTGGAGATGCCAAATCATAGGCTTGCAGTTTGCTACATCCTTCAATATGGCACTATGCTGGATCTCCAGTTGAAATGGCTGCAGCAAAGCTACATCCCTTGGCATACTACAGCAACTGACGATGGGTGACACCAAGACATAGCCCTCAGAGTCTGGCAGGTTGGGTAGTGTATCCCACACTAAGCTGACACACATGGTACAGCTAGATGACTGTGGTAATGCCTTACGTGGCACCTTGAGGTGAGTTGAGAGCTGCTTGGTAGTCATACCAATCATATCTACCTTCTGCATCATGACTACTTTCTCTCCATCCAGTTCAATGTATGGCGATTCTTCCTCATCGTCAGAGCTGTCTTCTGTGTCCTCTTCAGGTTCAAGGGTTTCATCTTCTTCGGTGGTAAACTCAATATAGGGGTCTTCTTCAGTGACACCTTCAGCAACCTCTACAGCTGGCTGGTGCTTGAGCTCTGCGTGGTGGTAACGTCCATGTGCGCCACCCCCACCACGCCCATGACCCCGCCCATGATAATCAGCAAGGGTGTGTTGGGGGCGTGGCTTAGTGCTTGGCCTGACACCAGCAAAGGGGGCAGAGAGAGCCACAAAGTTATCGTCTACATCTGAGCTGTCTTCTCCTCCAGGACCAGGGGATGCCTTAGCTGTCTTGGTGATATCAAGGACACTTTCTCTGGATGTTGATGATGCTGAACCTTCAGGGCTGGAAGTGTTCTCCTTCGTCTTATGTGATGATTCTACTTGTGTTGGAGGTGACGAGGCTGTTACCCATTTTCCACCTGCTAGAGTAGGACCTTTGTTCTTGGAACACACTGTGGGAAAAAGAAAATATATTTTCGTTAAGTTTTTAAATGTAAGGAAATGTTTGAACATCATGTTTGAAACTCACATTGTCAATAATGAGGCATTATGGGATGCTACGCTTCAAGACAACCTTAATTTCTGAGTACCATAATCATGCAATCTGTGCTTTATTCATCAAAGACTAAAAACCATTCCTTTCCATTTTCAACCTCAGCTCTCTCAGCCCCTTCCAAAGCCCCCAGTCCTTACCTCCACTAGCCCTGTTGCAGGCGGCATGAATGGCATTGAACCATGCTTTACGTTCATGGTCACTATCTGCAATGAAATGGTAGATTCTGCCTGGAGTCTTCAGGTAAAAGTGAAAGCCTCGATTCTCTGGGTCCAGCTGTCCACTCAGGATGAGGGAATAACCTCCCTTCATAGGAATTGTACCTTTGGGATTAGCATCCTAAAACAAAAAAACCCCACCAAAATGAAGTGATATTATACATGTACCCACAACAGAAACACCAAACTCAGGAAAACAGCCCCAAAAAGTCTGGTTTATTCCAGCGGGGGGGGGACAACAAGCAAAATCCTCTAAACAGTTTTCTGAAAACAAATAGATGTTCCTCAGTATATTATCAGCCAATGGAAGGTCCAAATGTTAAACTCTTTGTGGTGCAATGATTGAGCTTTAGGTGGTACACAAAAGGTCTCTAAATGAGACTATTCTTCATGGTTTGCACCAGACAGCAAGTATTTTCACTAATTGTCAAGGAAACACTTCATAAATTTAGAGGATTCATTTATAAAAACCAATGAAATAGTACAGTCATTTGCGAAAGTTTAACACCACCTGGAATTTTATTGGTATTTCTGTCACTGGGCCTGCATTACATTGTCTCATTGACTGATTACTTAACATGATTGTACAGTGTTGCATAACATCAGTGTAGTGCTATATACCCATTTGAATGAAATTTTTTGCAAAGGCAGGTCTTGTATGACATTTTGTCTGTAAGGCAGCTTGTGAAAAAAAAAGCCAGTCTAAGTGATTAGAAATAAGGGGGGAAACACTGAATATTAGACTGTTAACATGTCAAATCATGGAAATGTAGTCAAAAATGTTCAACAAGGTTACACATTAAAATAAACATAAGTTGCGATTGGTTTAAGTTTGGTTTTCCTTCAGGTTAATGCATTTTCTATGGGTGGTCCTAAACTTTTGCAAATGACTGTAATACATATATGAAACATTAACTCCCCACCAAAATACACACAAAAGACAAAAACAATTAAAAACAAGACATAATTAGTGTTTGGTATTTGACAAACGTAGAGGTTTGGGTAGTGGTCAACAATGAAGGACCAACAACAGCATTGGTTATGAAGCTTGGAGAGCAAAAGGAAACATGACCTCATTTGGATGAAAAAAAATAATGTTGCCACAGTGAGAATTGATTAGCACCTTGTAGGTCCACATTCATACTTTTAACCACGGGACAACACACTGACTTGGTTACACCATGATAATTTTGACCCAGTTTGAAGATGCATGACAATGGTGGAATACTGCACTCTCATCAAGTGAATGTGTGTATACAGCAAATTTGTCTTGAAGTTTTGAAAAAAAGACTATTGGCATATTTTTATCGGAGGGTCCCATTCACCATAAGACCAGCTGAACACCTCAGACAATTGATGCCAAAGCTTATTCTATCTCTTAATGGAGCTTCAAGATCATATCTTTCAGAAGTGATTTTTGTGATTTTTGAAATACTAAACATCTTTTTACTGTAACTTCTGGTATGGTGATATCATCAGTTTCAAACTTGTTTACTTGAATGTCATCATGTCTACCAAGTGATTACAGCAAACTATAGACATCAGTTGAAAATGCATTTGACAATTTTCAACCTGCCGCAATATGGTGCTTGAGAATTCCATGACATCAACGGTCAAAGTTTTGAATAGCATTATACAACCAGAGACAAACAGCATTGATACCAATTGTTTATTACCTCTTTTGATGTACACAGCCATTCTTTTTTCGGCTATAACAAGGGTCACATGATTTTTATGTACATGACAAAAAATGAAGACCTGAGTTTACGCTTGCTGCCAAAGATTATGGACCTCACGGTTGATGTTTATTCTAAAAAGTAGTGCAGACAGAAACGAGTAAAATCCAAAGAATAACAACAGGGTTTGGGCTTAGGACAAAACTCAAACAAAAAACCGCTACACCACCAAAAAATATCTCAACACGGTCTCAACATACCAGTGGTTCTTTGAAGTACATGAGGCACATCTTGTCCAGAACAATCCAGCGTTTACGAAAAGCCTCCTTGCCTTTGGCTCCAGTCTTGAGCAGGTAACCCTCCTTAAGGATGTCATACTTCAGAATACGAGAAATCTACCAAAATGCCAAGAAAGAATCAAACAGTTAAAGTAGAGGAAATTCAACTGGAATTTGCAACTTATTTTTTTTTAAATAAATTTATTTTTTATGCATTTAATCAATGAAAGTAATCAACGTGCAACTGTACACTGCAATGTATACTCACAATATCCTCATCTTTATCAACACTTGTGCTTTTCCGAATGAAAAACTTAAGACATCGCACTGCCTGGAACCATTCCACCATATCCTGGTGGGAAATATGAATATTAATTAGATAGTACATACGAATATCAATAGTTCTTTAAAACAAAAAAAATTTGATACATTTGACACATACGCAAGACAGGAGGTTTCCAACTGTACCCCCTTCTCAACATCAAACTTGCCATGGCAAGGTCAGGGTAACGTTCATGAGATGTACAGTAACCATCATTTTAAAGGCCTATCAACAATTTTCTGCTGAGCCTGACGAGTATAGTGCCCTTTGACATAAGAACTCTGGTAGCAACACAAGCAGTCAACTAAGGAAACATTATTGGACCACACGGAAATGTAAATTTTACATAATCACTAAAAGCTACTATCCACGAAGGGAAGTTTCAATGAATCATAGACAATCTCAGTCTTGACCTACTAAACATTGGGTTCATGGGTTCAGCCAAATAAAATGAGTCATTAAGACCAGGAACTTAGGACACAGAAGGAGTTTAAACTGCCCAGGTTATAACATCTGTCCAATTACTGCTTTCTGGCATGCCTGGTATCTGTCAGGTATCATATGATCACAACTGCAATTTTTTGCTGGTAATCTGCATCCTTCATAACTTTGTACACTGAAGTATAGGAAATTGAATATTCATGTATTGTTGGTGCTTGCTATGATCTCCCTACAACAGTAAATTTAATTCTTGGGCAGTTGCTTGTATTAGGCTGTGTGCCCGATTACGTTCATGTGCAGTTATTGCCCTTCTCAAATTCTTTCTTCTGGAGTTATTTTTGAAATAAATGGTCAAGCTGTTGATAAGATTTGCTGTTTTATTTGAATCCTTTATACAAAAGTGTATTTTACCATATCTCATTCTCATGATCACTCCCTATGATGAAATAGTGCAGTTTGTTCCTATATGTGCATAGCTGTCCAGTAGTGGCCAACATTTTGTTGGCCAGTCTTAGCCAAATTTGTACAAAGTCTTTGAAAACTGATGCATTGGAGGGAGAAGAATAAACTTACAAGCTGTATGCATTCATATAATACTAAGTGTTATAGTTGAATCTTAAAGTGTGCTGACTTATATATCGTTTTTTGTGCCACTACAAGGTAATAAACTCCAAGTTTTAAGGCTATGTGGACTTGCTACTTTGAATTAGTAAAATATGCGATAGTTGGAAAGATGTTTTCAAATTAAAACAACAATTACACATGTATTTCCAGGACTTAGAGATGGGTTCGATTCAATTCCATTTCTGAATCCCTTTCCAAATACTTGGACATAGCATGCCTTTTTCCCCACTTGACACAATTCCAAGTGTCAGACCACATTGTCAGTTTTGATCTGACTCAATATAAACGGTACCTTGTTACAGGTCAGTACATGTTAGAATCAGCTAGAAGCACTGAACCACAAGAATAGTATTACTCAAATCTCTCATTACTGCCATAGTTAATGACAGCAATCTAGGTCACATTACTTTGTTCTAATTTCCCCATCTATTCCGGGTACAAGTAATGAACAAAGGTTTACTGAGAGCCAATTATGTTATGTGACGTTATTCTGACAGTACGCATATGACACTTGCTATGCACTTAAAGAGAATTACCTTGGCCATTTCAGCATAGAGATAGATCATGCGAGTATTTTGCCCCTTGTTGTCTGGGTAGACTATCTGCAGTCCGTTTGGATGACCAATCTTTTCGGGTGACGCAAGAACCATATTCATCTTGAACAGGGATATCTCCCCTCGAAGTGACTGCTCCTGATAACATGAAACAAACAGCTGTGAAAATGTTTGAAAAATGGGACGCAGTACCAACTTTAATATACAGTGTAGTACTGTTTTCCACTCAATGAATTTTGATTGTTAATCTGACAACCTTAGTAGTTTTTAAAGATAAATTGAAATCAACAAGAGCAAAGACTGGAGAATTACATTTGCATCAGTGTAGTATCGCAGTGTGCCTTTCCCACTTGGATCCAAGACAAACCATCGTCGCTGGAAGACTTGACTGTCCCGACCCAGCTTCCACAGGTAACCTGACTTCTTACCCTGCATGTACTTGGGTTGGTTCTCAGCAGATACAAACTCCTTACGCAAGTACTTGGCCGTGATCCACTGCTTTCTGAATTCTCTGAATGTAAGTAATTAAAACCAGAAACTAAAAATCCTATATGTCCTGAAAACCCAACGGTCTATAAATTTCAATGCAACAGAGTGGCACACATTCTCCAATAAGCCCTATCACAAAATCATCCAGTCTTCATAAGTCACGTCAAAGTTGTTCAAACGACCTGTGATAAAACAAAACTTATTCCAATGTTCATCCCCCGTTGTGACCAGACTCACAATTTCACTTGTGTTGGACTGATGATGGTCTCAGAAAAAAGTCCTTTTGGGCAGTTTCTGTTTTAATTGGTCTGAGTCTAATGATGTTGCAATGCTGAATGCTACAACCGACTCCACAAAAATTATAAAACATTAATGCTAAAATAGCAGACTTTTGCAAAAGAACTTTGGTTTTGAGTTACAAATTTAACTCCCTATCCCAGATATGTCAAATCCATGTTTAAAACTGGTAAAAGCAAAAACTGTAGCTGGTAGAAGATAATTGGCTAAGGTTGTGTTACAATCAAGGGACAAATTTAGAGTCACCTGTACACATCACACACTTGACTCTACATGTCATGCATGTATTACATGTACATGTATACCCACTGATGAAATGTACTATGTACATGAAGACATTTCTTACATGTAGTTGAGTTGATTGTTGCCTATAGTCTGCTCACAACAGTCAGTGTACATTTGAAATGTACATGTATGTGCACTGCAGGTGCATTTACATGTACTTTTGATGCACAATTAAACATGTACATGTACAATAGATGATAATGTCTAAATAAGGGTAAAACTACATGTACATGTATTTGAATCTACACTGTAATGCACCTTTTCAGTCACTGAAGTCTGAGTTCCATTCATTTAATTCAATATGGAAAAACTCTCTTCAAACAGCTTTTCATGTCCACTAAACACACTGATAGAATTATTAGCGTGTACACACATAAATGTATGTTAAAAATTCCTTCAACAGATCAGGTTTGTAAGGAGTCAAAATATAATCTAGCTGATCACACCCAGCATAGCATGTGTTCTTACGAGGTTAGATGGTATTGCATCTAGGATAGGGCGTAGCTAGTGTGAGACAACACTGTTTTATTGTAGCAGTTACCGAAGATCAGCCTTGCAGATTTTGTTTTCTTGTAATGTGTGGTCTTTGGAGTGATAATAGGTCACGCATGACATACACATATCCCGTAGGACTTGAGGTGTTTGTTTGCTTTGGTTTTGATTCTTTTCTGATTTGGTGTTTTCTAAACTGCCACCTACAATATTCCACTTCCCATCATTGATGATTTACACGACCACTTACAGGACGACCTACTGCCAGTACATGCACATGCGACCAGCAAGCTAAATAATACCATGGAGGTAGGACGATGCTTATCAGATTGAAAGTCAAGCTACAGGTGCATGTACACACAAACATTTGTTCACATTTGAAATACCCGGTACATTTGAAGAGCTCTGTTCCTAATTGGTCCCCTTTTAATTAGTTACCACTGATAGGCTGGCATCAGTCGTGCTTTAGGCCTACCTGTGTTCGACTGTAATTTTTTTTAAGCTAAGTGTCTAACCCTTCACTTCCTATGTACAGAGGATATGGTTAAAATAGTCACTGATGACATTCTCATCTGTACAGAACTGTATACCAAAAGGTGAATCAATTCGATAAAAGGATCCATCAGATGACAAATTGTTCACAATCTCTTCAGGGTGAACAATTGTCTGTCACCTTTAACTAAAAAACTAACAAAAACATTGTTTTAAAAACACTGAATACATCTGCTGGCTACAAAATGCACATTAAACAAGGAAAATATATGCAAACAGCAGAAAATGCGACTTAGATCATCCAGTTTTGATGGCATCATGTTAATTCGATCCCAAACGTTTTTAACAGGCAACAATTTTCACACAATTTTCAAACAATGTGGTGATGCAAGGAAATCTACATGTGAGAACAGGAAGCTGTAAGTCAGACACAGCTTCATCGTTTCCTGTTCAGTGGGCTTGTGCTTGTAGATTACGCCAAATATCAGTGAAAGGGCAGTTGGTTTGAGCTCATAGCTCACTGCTATGAATGCAAAGGTCACAGTTTGCTGATTGGAGGGCCCACAAAACTGTGAACGGTGGGTTTTATCAATCATGCATAAGATATACTTCACTGTGGGCAGGGAAAAGGAACATTACTGGGTTTCAGTGGTACAGGAGGTAGGGGAAAGGCATAGTGCTGCATGGGTTCTGGTGGGACAGGAGGTAGGGGAAAGGCATAGTGCTGCATGGGTTCTGGTGGGACAGGGGGTAGGGGAAAGAAACACTGCTGCATAAGTTCTGGTGGGACAGGAAGTAAGTGCTATAGGTTCTAGTGGAACAGGAGAGCTGAGTTCTGGTGGGACAGGAGGTAGGGTAAAGGAACAGGCCTAGGGCTGCATGGTTCTAGTGGGACAGGAGGTAGCAATGAGGGGAACAGTGTTGCATGGGTTCTTGTGGGACAGGAGGTACATATAAGAGAAAGGAACAGTACTGCATGGGTTCTAGTGGGACAGGCGATGGTTGAAAGTGGGAAAAACTAATTCTCGTTATTGCAAGATTTCCTGCTCTAGGATGTCTTCGCACTCACAAAAATAGCCCCCTCCCCCAAATGGGGAATGGATGATCATGGCAACCCTTTAGGTGTAACGCCAAACCCATATAAAGTAAATATAAATTGCTACTTTAAGCAAAAGAAATATGGTTCCCGGGAGTATAGGCCTAAATGTGACATTAAAGCAATGTGAACTTTGTTCTACACATTAAGTTAAATTTAGGTGTACTTGTACTAATGTTGGTTTTATGGACTGATAAACCAAATATGAGGAAACAAGAATTAGTCTGACACTGTGGTTTAAAACGATTTACACATAAATGCGTACATGCATGTACTGTGTGCAAGTGACCTCTAACAAGCTTAAGCACGTAATGAAGAACTTGATATGACCTGACGACTTCTGCTGAAGGTTTTGTGTACTTTTAACAATCCTGGATTATCAACAAAGACCCTGATCTGGAAGAGAGGACAGGGAGAGGGGAATCTATGTAGGGCAAAGAACAGGAAGCAAATAACAGATTGTTCGCACGGACAGGCACACTGTTGTGTCAGCCCGGGCTGTGCGACATTGGACCAGTTCGTTTTTGTTGCGCTGACTTTGCATCCGTTTTCTTTGACTTTGTGACTAAAATGGTTTGATGACAAAATGGCCACAAAAACAAATTCTTTTCCTTGTTAGTTAAAGCACAATCAGCTGAATGAAATCACACACTGTGTATCTCAAAGGACACCAAAGAAGAGCACAATAGTAGTCAGGAAGTGTCTCTGCTTTAACTAATGAAATGCAATGTATAATTTGCAGGAGAACTTAACCGTGTTAGTGCTGCTTTTCAATGAAATAAAGTGCACTTGAGCCATTCTTTATTCTAAAGGGGAAAGGACAAGAACAAAGTATGTGTACGAGTCAGTGTGTGGCTGCACTGATGGGGCAGACTCTCTGTGCAAATGTGTGCATACTAGTGCACCTGAATGACCTTGGATGCATTCATTTGGGCATGTGCTCTTGGAATATGGAACTGGAACATTCAAAACTGTTCTTGAAAACTTTCTTCTTTCAGTTCTGATGAAGTCAATACTGATGGACACAAAAAGGTGAAAATTCAAATGTACAACCCGAGACCTTTTTACGGTGGTATGTATTGATTGATAGAATCAGTTCTATCTACTTTTACAAAATTTTTCATCTTTACAAACTTCAGAAACAGTGGTCAAAACACAAGTTTCGGTAGATGGAAGGGAATAATTTTTGAATTTCAGCAATACAAGGAAGAAACAGGAATTGCTGATATATCTTACATATTGAAGCATCGTGTAGGTTTCTTGTAAGCAGGACAGAGATGTTTCTCATAGATTTCCTTGGAGGCATTGTTGTTTGTTGATGCCATTTTCTGCATGAAAATCCAAATAAAATACATGTAACTCAAAATTCTCAGATATAAGATATAAGATACATACATGTAAGACGGGAAAGAAGAATAAACAAAATATTGAGACTGATGGCAAGTGGCAGCTCCATGCACACAGAAAAATCTAAAAGAGACACAATTATACATGTATAAAGGTGCCTGCCTACAAAAGGGCAAAACAAAAATAATTCAAACCAACCAAATTCAATTAGAGGAATTTAAAGACACTTGCAATCCATCAGTTGATTTGGAAATATGTAGCTGAGGATATTTACAAAATATTGGTAATGTTAAATCATTTTTATCAGGATAAGAGCTGACTCCTATCAACCATGTCATAATCATAACTACACATTGGTAGTTATTTAAACCACAAAGCCATGTTCAACCCTAATCCTCAAGCACAAGAGAAAAATAAGTTACAAATTTGACATTTATAGGGTTTCGGGGGGGCGAATGCAGCTCCAGGGCTGGCCTTCATTATGGCCCTAAGCTGGACCTAGGCTCCTTTGGTAGGAACTACATGTACACTTCGCTGGTTCATGAATGATTACACATCGCTACCAACAAACGAACACTGAGGACCAGCATGGCTCTTTTCAACTGATGAAGGGGTGCTTCTGCTCAAGGTGATTACAGTTTGCTCCAGAATTCTACCTCCATCAGAAATACATGTACATGTGGGCTTGTTTAGTTTAGGCCAAGTTTGGCAAAAGGAACAGAAAAGTGTGCATTGTTGCACAACTGCCCTTTTTCCATTTATGTGACTTTCTCTGTTGAAGGGCAAGTCTTGTGCATTCTTTGAGGGTTTTCTTTGTCATTTGTGGTGTCCTAAATTGTCCCTTTTTTAAATGATACTGGCAGTATGTGCAACGTGTGATATCATGTAACTTTTCAACAAGGGACGTGGATTATTTTGCATTAAGGGAATAATTATGTTCTTGGCCGGTCTTAAATGTGTGTTTAAGACCGACTCATTTGGACGTGACTAATGCCCGAACCACAGATTTTAGTCAGAGTGTCAAAAGAAGACAATATACATGTACATGTAGAATAAATTTCCGAGGACTTTGTTCAAAAATTTTTATTTTATTTTCCCAAACACCCCCGTCCATTTTATAGTATATTCCTGGAGCAAGTAGTACATCAGAATCCCCTTTACGGAACTGGCACACATGTGACATGCCACGGGACATACCAACTTTTGACCAATAGAAATGGACTAAGCTGTTTCGTATAGGTACCTACGCATTTTCACAGAGCAGCATTATTAAATTGCAGCGGGCATTACCAAATGTTACATACACAGTCATGTGACGTGTTTCGACTGGTTTCGACCAATAGAAATGTATGTAGTGTAATTGTCTAAGCTATTTATGAATGTACATGTAATTATTCAATTTTAAATGTTATAGTTTTTGTAGTTATGTTAGAATCCATGTTTATAATAATCTATGTTTGTAAGCCTGTGACATTGGAGTTAATGGCCTGCCATTAGTTTATGTAAATTATTTCAACTCCTGGCACATGTGCAACTGGTTAGCCGTTTTGTTAGTATTGTACACATGTTTTGTTTGTTTTTTACGACATACCAATACACCGATTGCGCCAGCTAAGTCACATGACCTACAGTATAGCGTGCTTCAAACATCAACAAACATGGTGTCCTTCCACAGCAAAGTGTGTCATAAGTGTTGTTTGTATGCCAATTTTCGGTATAGTGCTCAGCATATCAGTAGTCTGTACTTCATTGACTGTTGGTCTGTTCAGTTTTGTAGTTGAACCCTGTACAGTATACATCACTGGCATGCACCACTGCTTGTCTTACTTCCTCCATGATACATGTATTTTTTCTCACCGTCAATACCCTTAGAGTCATACACATATTGAATAGTGTGGAAATGCTTGAGGCCACTTCAACTTGGTTGTGCATGTTTCACTGTATGTGCATCCATTATTATGGGGGAACCAGCCCTATAGAGTTTTGACTAGAGTGCAGAGGCCAATATCTATCAATAGCTGTGCTTGCATTGTATTGTTTACACTGGTGTCTACCATGGGGTACCATGCTTGAAAAAAACCCCAAAACCTTCACACACACACACCCACACACGTCCCCACTACGCCACGGCGCACCCAACATTATGTGGACCTCTTTTGTGCAGAGGTCCACACTATGTATGCCACCCACACACACTTACCTAACATACCTTGAGTGGACATTCCTTTCATTTTGTGCAGTTAAGAAAACTCAGTGAAAATACTCATTTTTCTTGAACTAAGAACACGATTTTCAGCTGGCTTTTGTACAAAGTTTCCTTGACTCGTTCTTTTACGACAGATGACCCCTACCCCAAAATGACTCTAAACTTCATTTTCAGAGAAGGGGAAACGTCCTGTGGACATGTGTAAGTCCACAGAACGTCTTCCTTTCCTGCATCATGTGGACATCTTTTGTTTACAAGTCCACACTAAGTACATGTATGTAAGGTTAGCGCACTACCATTGTGTGTACACATTATGTAGGCAGACAAGAAAAATCTTTGTTCTTTTCTTAAAATGTGTTTAGTGGCAAGATCTACTTAGTCAACTTAGTTATGGAGCTACATGTAAGTGTCTGGATGGCGTTTGTAGAACCATATAGATCATTTCAGACATCACATTTAGTTTTACACATACATGTACATGTATGTGTGCAATAAATGAACTTCAACATTTTGGAAAGGTTTTCCAATTATAAATCCAGCTTTGAAACCCATTTTTTGAATGCTTGCCTAAACCTGTTCATAGGCATGGCATATACATGTAATACAGGCATTTACCCCATTACTTTTAACAGAGACGGCAAAAAATGAACGTTTGATGGGTAACTCTCCATGCGTGTTAAATTTTTCAGCTTACGTGGGACAGTGTGTATTAGGACAATTCAACATTTTCAAGTTAAGAAAAGCAGAGAACCTTTCAAACTGCCTGATGATTACTGACGGACACATGCATGACAAAGTGGCCTCAAGAATACTGTGAGCATTATGTTTTCAAACAACTATTAACAACAAAAGAGGCAGCTTAAAATGGTGCTAACTGACCAGTGATGTTGGATACCCTCAATCAAGTCTCCAGTCTCCCCTTAAATTCTGCCCCCCTTCACAATTTGAAGAAAAGTACTATTCAAGGCTACATCCCAAACCACTGGTCAGGGGACCCTCAATGTCCTGGACAAGTTGGCCCGTATTGCAGCTGGCTTTAAACAGGTTCTCTCTTTGTAGCAAGAGGAAAGATGCGGTTTCATCCAGAACCACAATCATTTGGTCACCTTGTTGAGACTACATTAAGCTTCTTCATGGAAATCAGATTTTAATAATGGTGACAGTTACAACTTGAAATTGGACCCTTTCATATTGTGTCAGTGATGAGTCTGTGATATCCTGGGCAATTCCCAAACCATTCCAAGCCAAACCGACTCTCGTTCCACTTGTTGCTGATTCAAGGAAAATTCCACAAGGCAATTCATCCACACTTCCTTGTTAGGCTTTTGGTTGTTTGTGCTGTGGTTGGCAAGCTTACTTTTTAAAATGAAAATTCTTGTGCCATCCTGGATGAACAATCGGCTAAAATGGCTAGTTTCCTAAGATTTCTAATTTGGAAACTTTTTAAGTTTGACAGATTCAGGACTGTTAAAATAATTTAGCGAGTTCCTTTTACTCAGTTACAAAGATACACGGAGTATGTACACGTATGTCTAAATTTGAATGGCACAAGACTCTACAAAACGGGAGGGGGGTGATTTTCAAATGACAAGTCCAGTCTTCTTTAAACTTCATCTCGTAGGTGCTCCTCCTTGAATTTTCATTTGTTTCATAACAGCATACACTGTAAACTATATAAAAAACTTATTTTTTGTATCTTTCTCGTTATCAACAGTTCAGGAGAACTGCAATCAACAAGTTGGTTTTTCTGGGTCCCTTGCATCTGATGAAAGTGTTGGTCCATATAATTCTCATGTCTTTTTTTGTGAAGTTTTAACAAAACACAACAATATTTAAGTACGCTTTGCCTTTCTCTGTGCTCTGAGATTACAACAAAGTAAATGTAAAGTTTAAAAAATTAGTGCAATTTAAACAAATCAAATAATGAAATTAATGATATATGTTTTCACCTTGCCCAGGCTAGTAAATTTCACAATAAAACTTTACACATTTATTTTCAACACTGTGAGGGATATGAAATGAAAATCTCTACATAAACCTCTGTGAAATTGTGAATGACCGAGAATTCTCTTTAAAAGAGCAACAGTCCACCCTAAAAATAATGCCAAAATAAAAGGGACATATTTTAACAAGTGATTCCTGATTGGCTTATGCTCCATTTACCTTATAGCTCTCTTCAGTCCAGTCTTGGCAAATGATGGATTTGAAGGTGGCATTGCTAAGCACACAGTGGAGATCCATACATTCTTCACATACTAGAATGCCTAACTCCTCACAAGCCCATACAGGATCTACAGATAGAAATTAAAACCCAATGTTGAATATGAAGGATCTACATCATCATCATTACCTATGTAGATAAAGACAGGACAACATGACAGTGTGTGTACTCTGGTTTGAGTAACAGAATTGGTGAATAATATGGAGTTCGATCATGTGGCCATGGAAGAGTAAAGCATTCAACTCAAGGTGCCCCAAGTTGCAAACCTGTTGGATCTTTGCAAATTGTATAACAGAACTGAGAACATATATTGTACCTCAATGATGATGTACATGTAAATGTGACCCGCTCTGCAAAAAAGGGAAATAGGTCATGCAATGCCAAAACAGGTAATGGTCTGTTCTATTTGGTGAGGGCAAAATTTCTTCAAAAACATGATTTTGTGTTTTTTTCCTTAATAGCTTCTATAAAATTTATATATTCAGAATTTGTGATTACAAAAATGTATACTGATAATAAAGATGAAAAATTGATTATCCAGTAGAAAATCCTACATAGCATTGTGTTTCCAAGCACTACTCTCTGTGAGTGTTTTCTCGAAAAGTGCTTTTATTGAATCCGAAAATGTGGATATACAAATGTCTATATACATGTATCTCAGGAACGCAGTGCACTACATGGGTCATTCATATATCAAATTGTAGCTTTTAATGTACAGAATCCAGCCATATATCAAAAACTCATAACCCATTTTTCTAGAGCCGGTCACAAATGGTGTTTAACCTGTTAACTTCAATGCTTTGCATTTTTTTCACTGTATGTGTTAAGTCAATCTGTAAATATGGTAAAGACGACAATTAGGGTGTGTTTCCCCCAAAATGTGACTTTGCTCTAATCAAAACTTGTCATCAACAGTGTAAGTTTCAGCCAGAACAATGAAATGCCATGAACGTTAAATATTTTACTACAAACAACTTCTCAAACATAACACCACAGATAAAGCGTTCATATACAGTAAAGATGACATTGATTTTCCCTTAACATGCCGTGATAACAGCCATCAGAAAGAGATAACATGTCCTAAAAAATAATATTTAGCTAAGAAAATTCCGAAGCATTTACTTAGAAAAACTCTGGGTTTTCAGACAAGTTTCACACTGTATTAGTTTGTGCACAAGACTGGGTTCATTAGCTTTGTGAATAATACTTTTCAATATTTTATACACCCAAGCCACTCAGTCAATTGACAACCACACTACTCAAAAACCATTTCTAACTTCTATTTTTTTCCAAGCAATGAGTTGGGTCTAGTTCTTTCATTTTTGGTTTGTCTATTAAGTAAATTGAAAAAAATCGGGACAGTTGTAGTGGGGTATTGATATAAAAAAGTATACACAAAATAAAAAAGTGGTCCTTAAAAATTGATAACACTGATCTGAAAGTTGTAGACAGGTTTGAATAGACCTGTCATTTTGCTCAACGATCAGAACAATGCCTGATCATACTAATGACATTTTTCTTGCGGTATACTTCTCAGGCCTACCTGGAAAACCGCATTCTTGACAATCGCAGTCTTGGCAGTCAGCACATCTGTCATTCCCTGGCAATTCCCGTAATCTTTGAGCGTTTATGGCCATGGTTACTCCAGGTCTGCTGCAACCTGCTTCTCTCCGTCGTTCGGATCTGTTTCTCTGCAATTCAGTTTGGCCTATCTCGTAGTTGACCGTATCCGTACTAGGCCCTTAATCACCACACACAACAGCCAACGTCAGTTATTTGAAATTGAAGGGTAATATGATCTGATCTTTCTGACAAGTTGGTCTACCCACTAGGCATGAGTCTCCATGATATGCACAAACTCAGCCTAAAGTACATAAAAAAATGTATTTAGTTTTGGGCAAGCAGCGCCGAGTCAGTATTTCCGGGTTTAAGGGTCCGGTGACTGTTGCGTGATTTCAGTAATGAAATCATGAAACAGACTCTGGGAAATTCCTTTGCCAAATCACGGACAAGACAGATTATGCGGAATAAAGTCGACCACAAAATTGGGGGCGTGGCAGGATGTTTGTTTCTTGGGCTAGTTTAATTACTTCCTTCGTGAGAAGATACTTGAATCATTATTATCTCAACGAAGCGACTGCAAAATCGAGTGGGTGGGGGTTACACCTGGCTAAAATGCTTTCGGATGGGGAAGGGTACTTCTCGACAAATTCTTTTTTAGCACGTAGGCACAAGTGCAGATCGCGTGTTCAAGTTCAACACGCGTCCGGGATATGTTGTGGTAGAAAAGGCCACATGATTGGTGCTCAAGCGGACAGGTTTGGTTCCACCATTCTGATGCTGACCTTTGACGGTTAACTCAATGACTTCATATTTAATCGGCCTTTCTGAAAATTAAGGAACCGAAACATAATGAAACCACCGATTGTTGGACTGAAATGGGGAATCCCCACATCTTCCAAACAATGCAGTGAGTCACGTACCATAATACCCCAGCCATCTCGGGCTGTTCAGTAATTTGGCCCCACTTCAACATCTATTAAGGGTGCAATAGAAATGTGACATCCCAAGCGGCTGCGATTTAATTTGACCAAATAGTGGTAAAATACCGATACTAGTGTTCATGTGGAATTCAAAGAGTCGTAGGTAAATACATGTATTTTCGACGTGTAAAGCTGTTAGTGTTACTGCAAACTTGCTGACAGTGATTAAATGTGAATTGGCAACATGAGGGAAAAAAGCAGAGCAATAGAATAAATAGGATCGAAGACCTTTTGTCATGTTTGTTATGCATCGCAAGCTACAAGGAAAATTTGTTCTTTGGCACCCTATCCATGATTCGCTGCACGCAAGGACTACCCTTAACCAGCAAGGATGCATTTCTTGAACTCAACAATGCAGCCCAAGTTGAAGTTAAACCTCCTCAAAAAAAGGGACAAAATCAAACATCAAGATATCAAGTAAGGTAATAAAATTCATTTCGTCATCTTGATTCCAATACAGGCGATTCACAATAGTGCGCCACCAAGAGTTTGCAACATGCTGACCAATCATAACGTGCGAAATTTGTCGACCATTTCCAAACGCGCATTGTGATTGGCCAAAATGTTGCCAACTCGTGGTGGCGCAATATTGTGAAACGGCCGTCTTGCTCCCCCAATTACAGGTTTTATTGTGCAAGCAATGGAACTTGGTTTCACAATGTTGTAAGTTGATCACAACAATCAAACGTATAAAACGAGACATGGATCTGGCGAATCACTCTTGATGAGTCAAGGAAAATAATCACTCCAAGCATTTTTTTATTTGGTCATGACAACCACTTTTATTCGTTATGACATAATATGCCGGGAATTGATAGCTTATCTTACCATCAAGAATCCAACTGCATGGGAATCAGGAAATGTTCACCTTGAGGACACAATCACATTTTATTGTTCATCTGTCATTGCCTTCGAACTACAAAATAATGCAGCCTGAAAAGGTCAACACTTTGTAATATCTCTGCTGTAGTCAGATTCACTTTTGATGTATGCTTTAATGTTTGCTACGTTGCACAAAGAAGCGATCATAAATTTAGCGAGACTAAAAGTGAAGCAAATCTTGGTCTATTACTTATTAGTAGTACCCACCTTCCAAAAAGTAGTCACCTGACCTTTATATGGTTTCGTTGAAGGTGAGGCTGGACTGGCAAGCTTAGGTTAGTTGAATCGCCTCTCACATAACAGCTTAGTTACCTTCATGGTAATGTGTAACCATGTTTTTTGCAAGTGTAACTTCAATTTGGATCTAATCAATTGTGAAGGCTCCGTAACTCTCTTCCTTGATAGCAAGTCCAAGAAAGTAGGAGGCAGTTATATCCCTAAATACTTACAGAGGTGATCAATACATGGATACCAGTTTTGTGTCTTTACCCAATGATTATCCATGGCGACGTTCATCTACCCACAAGGGAAGGTAATGGATCGAGCACATGGTAACCAACTTCCCTTCAATTTTAACCAACTTACTTCAGAAAAAAATCAACCTTTATAAATATCCTGCATTTGATTAAAAGACAAAACAATTCATTCCAAAAACATTCAGTGTCAATCCGCCCACCAGTACTTTAAATGCAAAAGCTGTTCAAAGTAATCTCCAAATAAATTTCAAGATTCAAATAGTATCCAGCAAGACACATAAGGCATTTAACTATCACAACAAAATATTTCAAGTGGACAGCAAATGATACTTTAGAGAGCAGGTTAGGTTCAAATAGTACACGTGTGAAAATATTAATACTACTGCATATACATGTATTGCAGTATGATCACAAGGTTTCACATCAAACTATCTTCAATCACGCATAAAATGAATAAACCCTACCCTTTCAGGTCATTACCCTGTTTTCATATTCAGTTTCAATCCAGTTAATGTTCCCTTTTCTACACTTGAACTAAAAAACCCACAAATTATCTGGTCCTAATTAAATGATCTGGACCTCATATTCACCCTTAGCTTAAACTCAGTAAGTCAGTACATAAAGCAGAAGTATTTAAGATGTACCAGGAAGAGAACGTAGGCAGAATCACAGTTTAAAGTGTAAGTTTAACAAAGAAAAACAATGACAAAGACTGACACAATCAGGAATGTGAACTGTATATGGATGTCCTTCCGCCATTGAGACAATGAAATGGCTTACTTAACAAGGTCACTCACAAAGTACTGTAGCAGTGACCTGATAGTGTACAAGAGAAATAAGCTTGTAAGGGATTCAACATTTTTGGGGGGGGGGGGAAGAAACAAAACACATCAGTTTCTTTGCTTCCAATGCATTCAATATCTCAAAAGGTAAACCCACAACCAGTTATTGTTTACATTCAACAAGTAAACAGACAATGAGTTTGGTAATGTTTTACTAATTTGATCAATTAATTTATATTTTGGAATGTTACATCACTACTTTTTGGACGTGTGTCATTGATGAATGACATTAAGCAATTAGTATTTCTACGGATGTATTTGTAAAATCATCTGTGAAGTTTACAAAACTACATGTACTGCTGACCATTTAAGTTGGCTTAGTTCCATTTGAACACAGGTATTACACACCCATTGAACTGAATAAAATATAAAGCAAAGAAAATCCAGTACAGAAAATTAAGTACTTAACTGCAAACTGAAATTTGAAACTTATGGTTTGTTTCTTGATTGGAGCAAAAGGCAGCAGAGAGGAGACATGAAATAAAGTAATTCCACATCAACAGTCCAAGTGGACATCAAATGAACTGTGCATTTTAAGACCTTTTCATTTCACTGGTAAACATCTATCAACATTTTTCTTTTAAGGAACTGATGGTTACCAGGGAAAAAGCATGGCTTTGCAGTAAATTATGGGTGTACATTTACAATGCAAAATAGAGAAATTTCTAAATGTAAGAGAATATTTCTCTGAGTCAATGCATAAAGCTTGATAACAAAGACAACATTGTATACACATTTTGATGGACCTCCATAGGAAAGAGATACATTGAGTCACAAGAATTACAATACACGTATCCAATTGCATATGTTTCAAGACCAAACTTTGCACACGTTGGACTAATACTCCTGCTGCACTTCACACACACAAAAAACAAAGACCTAACCCCAAGTGATTTCAAAATCGAACCGTGAACATCCCTTGATCAGAACATCTTAGAAAATCATTCTAACAAGTGGCACTTCTCAAACTGTCATTTTCTGCTCAATGAATATCCATTCTATGGTTTTGTCAACGAAAAAAAGCAAAAGAAATCAGAGCTTAAAATTTCTTCTATGCAATACACGCACAAAAAGTTTTACACAGCGCTGCTTTGGATCCTTTCAAATAAAAATGACCTATGACCTTAACTATTTACATCAAGAGCGCCCTCATATGATCTTCAAATGGAATTCTAAGAGTGAGGATTACAGTCTGTTAAGCTTCTAATACAACCGTATCAAGGTATGGTATTTACAGGTAATTCAAGTATTAGGAATTCACTTCAAATGCAAGAATTCCCACTGTTTATTGATGCTAGCAGTAATGCCATGTATTTGACAAGGTATCAAGAGAGGGCACTTGAGATGTCTACGTTAACTAGGGATGTGATATGCATGCATTTCAAGATGCTAGGCTACCACCGACTACGACTAATCCAATACAATGCAAGGATTACGCATGGGATTTTTATGTTACAGTTGGATGGAAGGCCTTTGGAGATTCTTTCATGTCATCAAGTAGAGATGCTACACGGATGAACCATCACTGGAGTCTGTTGGTTTGGTAGGTTTGGCATTGGCACCCTGAGTTGAAAAAAACAAACAAAAACTTTTACTTTTACATTTCTAAGGCTATCATTGCTTTTATAATTGCTAGTGTTTGATCAAAAATTTGTAAGTTTTCCAGCTAGATCAGTCAATTAGAAGCTAGTGGTATAACTACCGGTACATTTTGGTATCAAAATACAGAACCCTGGTAATAATTTGGGTTCGGTATCTTTGATGAACATGCAATGGAGAAAAAAGGGAGTAAGGTCATACAAAGAATATTATCTGGATCTCAAACCTGTAAAATATTTATCTTGTTATTAACATCAGCAGAGAAGTTGGATTTCTACATGGAAATAGCTTAACACAAGCTAATCAAGCAGTATAGATTATTAGTGAGGTTCATCAATTATCTTATCGACTACCCAGTTTTTAAGTGCCATGCTGAGGCGGGTGGGTAGGAGGGGTGCAGTGTACAGGAGGTGGGTGGTTGGAATACGTATACGTAATACATTAGTAGCATATACATGCTAAAACACGAGACATGGTGCATAGCATGCACAGATTGAGTACATGTACTGTAGTTCATGTTTGCTTTCATTATTTCAAAATTAGCAAGCAAGGCCAATTTTGATGTTATTCTGGTGTACTATCTTTAACTGACAATGTGACATTCTTAGTCAATCAAAATGATCACCCGGAATTTCAAAATAGCATCTTATACTTTACAGACCAAACAACTGTTAATGACTAGTAGTAACATGACACAACTTTAAATTTTATAACACAAATCTTCATCACACGATAAGCAGTACAACATTGTCATTGAAGTCACAAATTCAATGGTTGGTTAGTAGATGAACAATATTTTATAGTTGTACTTCAAAAAGATATTTCTTATGGCCAGATATTAGCATTTGGTACAGAGGCTGCTGTAAGAGAACTCAATTGTTCATATTTGACCATTAGTGCATGTTGGAACAGAAAGATGTTTTAGTGAAATAGGATACACTGGTATCAGGTTGTTCAATGTGCATTATGAATTGTTGCATAGAGCAACATTTTGTCTTTGCACTGCTATATACACAGAGGTTGAGATACCTTATTGTGATGTAATCTGATCAAACCAGATATGTTAACTGGCTGGATAACATTAACTGACTGCAGCACTATCTCTGTTTTCTCCTGCAGTTTGGTAAAGTCAAATATCGTACAAGTCCAATACTAAAATCCCGTCTTGGCATATAATGTTTGGCAATGTAATACCATAGACTATCTTGAGATTGTATTCTGGTCTCTGTGGTAATCACAGTATGAGACTGGTATATTAGTCAGCTGTAGAGCAGCTGGATATAAGACTGGCTAAAAGCCTCTCCACCAGCAGCCACACAGATTTCCTTAGATGTGAAGATTACATCTTGAGAAAGGAGTCTAGCGATGTTCTATGGATGCAATACGGTAGGCCTGCCTTTCCTACCATTCAGATCCACAGGTTGGTAGACAGTGTAAAATGGCTGACCAGATTGTTTTTTGGTTTCCTCAGCACAAGTCTAAGCCCATCAATCTGTTGCTGTTAAATGGTGGACTAGGAAACTGAAACTGAAACTGAAACTCAAAGTGTCAAACAAATGCTCTTGGTTTTGAAAAATTACCTCTTTTCCAAATCAGTTCCTACTCCACATTTTGCTGGCCTCTACTGTTTCAAAGTATGACTCTATAATATATTCTATCCGGTAGGACAATGTAATTAGTGGTTGGGTGAGTTTGTGAGGCAAGTTTCCCTCACATACAACTAGAATCATGAACTGGTGAGAAGTTTCCGAGAAATTTAATTGAAGGGAATTTATGATGCAACTTCACTGTTAAAGACGAGGAACCCTGAATACATGTATTTGGCTTTATCATCGCACTGCTTTGATCAATCAAGGTACCACTCACTTTCAGGCAACGTATCAATCAGTGTTAACTGTTTGCCTGAGCAATTTTTCAATTCAAACAGTTTTTATAACTGTCGCCATCTAGAGTGTTTTGCATAGCCCTAACAGTCAAAGTCAGCGCTCCTTTCAATGATTATTAAGGAAGCATCTCAAAGACTCTGATTGTAGTTTGCAAGTCAAACTGATACAAATGTTACCACAGAGAAATTCTGTGACCTTTAAGTGCAACAAAACTGTAGACTGAGGCTAGGCCCGCAATAGCATTGGCCACTACTGTCTACAGCAATGGCTGTTCAACGAAGTAAACTACCGGCAGAAAACAGAAGCCCTAGCCACAGAACAGCCAATTTGCAAATGGATTGGGGATGGCATATCCATCTTTCAGACATGCTAAGAACAAGTCATGTCTTGCTGAGCTTTGAAGCTTTTTACGGTGAAGGTGGCAAGTTAAGTCAGAGGTCTGTGGTAGCAGACTTCATTATCGCAATCCCTGCAGTCTTGAGTCTCCTGACGATGGAGAGAGCATACTGTTCAAAACACCGAGTACTCTCTGATTCTTTTCAGACCTACACAGAAAGAGACACTTTTGCATGGTGCTACTGCAAACCTCTTGCTTAACCAAGCCACGTTCCCAAAGGTAAAGCCAGAGCCTCTTAACAGAAAACCCCAGGAGTTTTGAGATGCTCTTACAAATGGTACATGTTCCAAGTACAAACTCCACCTGTTTTGTGAGTTTCACCTGTTAGGTATTTGTTTCTGAACTGCTATTACCTTCAAGTAAATACCCCCGAGTGCACTCACGCATGCAGGTCTATCAAATATTGGAGAATATGCTATCGACAAGTCAGTGCCCTTAACAAGGTGAAAATCCCAAGGACAAATGAAAAACCACTGTTAAAATAGGGAGCCAAGGTAGATTCAATCACAAGTATGAGCATAAGCCCACTTGTATTCACTGACTGTTCATTCAAACTCTGACAGATCCTGAAAGTTGATTTCTTTTAAAGTTGAAGTGATTGATAATGAGATTAACATCATTTGGTACTGACGTGTTGTATAACGTGATGTGTACAAAGATACCGGGATGTCAATGCAAAGAACCCACACGAAACCAGACAACAATGGCGTCTTAGCTTTAGAAATCAGTTGTGGGTTTAGAACATCTTACAGATATCCTTTTCTCAAAGATATAAAAGAGGCTGTAAGATTTCCTCTAGTCTAGAAAGTCTGAGAAAAGGTCATTTTTTTAATACCACTATGCAAAGAACCGCTGGGTCCATGGATGGAGTGAGTTATTTTCAGTAATTACTAAACATTTTCTAACATAAACAAAAAGGAACACCAATGAAAAAAAAAACAATAAAAATAAACACAACTAGGAGGGAAAAGGGTAAAACCCATTGCAGTGCAGTGAATACTCAAGCAAACAACAAATTAATGCAAAATACTATTGTGTCAATGTTCAGTAATGTGCAAGTGAAGCAAAGAAACGATCTGCAGGCCATGCACCTGAGCTATGACTTTTCAGACGCAGCTTGCTCTAGAATGCACCAAGAACCATTCTGCAACAGTAACAATATGGTATATAGCAATGTATAGACATTGTGTTAATAGTGGCGATCTGAGCATGGCTGAGCTAGAATTGAAATTACTCCTTAGCTTGATAAGAAACAAAGCTCTCAAATTTAAAGAAAGATTTTGCAAGAGACTCATCTTAAACTGGCCTCATTTTAGATATGTAACATGTAGCCATTGTCTTAGATTTCATTTCTTGATATTTCAACACTGCAATTAATACTACACGTATGTGGTAAGTCTCTGAGACAGGTTAATCAAACAGGTTTTTCATGTACATGTCTGTTACTCATGAGAGAAAAGACTATTTCATAGAACTTAAATCACCCATGAATGAACTTTATGCAGAATGTTTGATCCAGTTTCTATGCTTTCCACTTCTTCCAAAACCCCTTTTTATTATGAAGAGCACAAGATATACGTTTGTTCAAGAGCACAAGGGCAAAACAAACCTATCTACATGTACACAAGGTTAGCTATGCAACATTCAAGAATGGAAAGTATCATGACTACTAAGACTACATCAGCAGACTACAGGCATGCCTGAGGAGTTGCAAAAGAAGAAGTGATATTTGAGGAATTAGGCCTTTCTACGATTGAGTGAAGCTTTGCTTCCAAGATTAAAACCAAACCACTACAAGGAACAGTCTGGTGATTAATTGAGGCTGAAGTCTTGTCCACAGCCAAGGCCCCTTGCAATTTATGGAGGAGAGGCAGCACACACATATTTCAAGTTCAAGCTGAAGTTTGATTCCTCGGAAATAACTGCAGCTACAAGCTATGCTTTGGGTACAATTGAATCTAAGATTGAAAAATGGAACATGTTTGCAGTTTCTACACATATTTAAGTTCTGTATCAATCCCGTATCCTGGTAACATTGCTACAAAACTTTAAGAACCTTGGCAATGTTTCTGACTTTGGCTTTTGAAATTTCTTATCTCCTGACTTCAAGGACTCTGGCTCAACATTTTTCCATATATGGCTTGAATACAAATCCACCTTTTGGCTATCGTTGCCTGGTAATCAGACTCAGACCTGACTACATCAATGCAAATATGCTCTCTCCTATCCAAAGCATGGCACGGCAAAATTCTTAACTGCAGCAAGCATGCAACCTCTTCTCAAAGGCAATTTTTCAATATTGATACAAAAAGATATGCATTGTTTTTAGATCACACAAAAAAATAAATCTCCTCAAGCATTCCATTGTTTCTATTACCGAAACCAAGAACCAAACAAACAAACTGACAGGTGTGGGGAACCAGGGTTATACCTCCTCATCATCTGCAGCATCTAAGAGTTGCAGCTCAACTTGGCTGTCTGTCAATGTGCTACTTATCTCTGCTTGCTGCTCAAGGAGAAAGAAAACAAAAGGGATACAGACACACAGAAGAATGGTAAACCAGTGAAGGAATGAAACGGCATCCAACTATCCAGAGCTTAGACACACCCATTCGTCGACATGCCACAAATCAAATTAAGCATTTCAAAAAATGGGCAAAACTAAAGAGTAGAGATTGATATCAAGACAGTCGGTGATGGGGATTTGTAATTCTTGTAAACTTCACCCTTCTGAAAAATAGTTTGCTATGAACCATGTTAACAATGATTATCAACCACTGGTGTTGGTTTGCTCACAAACCACTTGTAACTGATATCAATTCTTTACTGATTAGTTCTGTAAATTGATTCTAGTAATGGGTGTGTGCATCACCAGGAACCTGACATATGTATGCATTCTCTGTATGACCCACATCAAGCATGCATGATGGAGCAACGTGTGCTTTTTTAGCTAACCTCTGCCAGCGATGGTATCTGAACAAAAATAACTTCTGCAATGGGAGACTTCCAGATGCATGGTGGCAGCAGACAAACCAGTCCTTTTCTGCAGTTGTGCGCTTGCTCAGAACTTGCATGCATGCTTAGAACTACACGTGCATGCCCGCATCAACCAAATAGGACCAATTTGTCTGCTGCCATCAAGTGTCGCAAAGTCTCTCATTGTCAGACACTGGTCTTCTCTATGTATAATAAACACAGTGCTGTTCCTTAACATTTTTAAAATTTGCCACTACTACAGTTGTAGCATCTTTGATGATTCTTGCAATAATGGCAGAAGCTCAGCTCTGATTACATACCCAACTCTACCAGATACAATTTATAATGAATGATTTTATCTTTACACACTTGAAATCTACCTCCCGCAGGGGCTAGGATGCAGGGGTAGACAAACGCAAACAGTCAATAACACAAGCAGAAAGGTACCGTTTCTAACAAACAATTAGAGATATACCGTAGACCCGTTTCACAGAAGAAGCACTTTGAGTTCTTCTTGGAAATAAGGACACAGACTTGCATCTTTCATGCTGAACAAGTACACTCATCTGATTTAGTGCTGGAAAGTTGAGTTGATTCATTTCTCTTCACATTCTGCTGCTCCTGATTGGCCATATCAAGGGGATTATTGTTTTTTTTTAATTACCAGCAGATTTTAACACTCTTACATTCAGCACATGCTTAAAATTCATTTTTCACGACATCATCAGCATTTACTAGAGTTAGTATCAAACTGAAGGTCTGCTTTTGTAAATACAACTCTGCTTTTTTTCCTCTCTGAAAATGGCTCTTGAACCACGAAAGAGACTCCCAAAAACCATGGACATAAACTCTTTGCTGTCCCGTACGTACTCTTTTTTAAACTTCTATCTATGCTTGTGAAGACTTTCATCTGGAGTACATCTGTGAAACTGCAATTCAATTTGACAAAAGACTTTATTGCTACGTCAGCCCATAAGCTCTGAGCATGTCGGTAGAAAAAGTACCATATTTGCCTGTCCTTTCTCAGAAATATGGGCATTTCACTAGAGTGACATGTCTGATTTTTGTAACATTTGTGGCAAAATGATTGCAAGACATTAACTGGAGAAACTAGTAAAAGCTCAGGGAAATTTTTTTTTAGTAAAGGCTCATGGGAAAATTTTTTGACAGTACATATACCAGGGAAAATGTCGGGGCAATCTGCCACCATTCAACTCTTTTAGGGTTAAATATTGTGCCACCAAAGCTCATGCATGGATTAGCTACAGCAGGTTGCCAGGTTACATAAATGTACATGTGCTGTCTACATACGTGTACATATACAACACACAATGCTTTCCCCTTGCCAAATTGACACTTAATCAGATTCATGCAATATTGAATAGTCTCAAAACACAGTCTACCCACACTGTGAAGTTATAAACGCAGTGCACCTGTACTTGATTGAGTTACAAATTATGTTTGTTATAATGGTAGTGTTGACTGAAAGCCTGTCATTAAAACTGGATTGCCAAGAAGTAACCACTGAGGGTCTGCATGTGCAAACTGAAGGGACTGCATGCACTGTTGAGTGTTAGGCTTAATCATAAGGTAAGGAATTCCGCAGTGCACATATGTATAAGAAATGATCAAAGCAAGCTTCATGCATATTAGGTGTAGGTTGAGGCGAGGATTAATGTGAAAAAAAGCCCTTGGAACTCAACCAGGCAAGATTCCGAGAGGTTTGGTAGCCCTCCTTCTGCTCTGAGTTTTCCCAAAGGCTTGCACAAATTTTCAATATATATATGTATATTGATCATCTGTCTAGTCAAGAATTCTTGACCTCCGAAGTTTTAAATCCAGCTTCAGTGGTCTTCCTCAAGCAGGTGCCGGCATTCTAATCCCTCCATGATTTTGGCTATAGATTTGCATCTTTCTTCATCTAATGGGGAATTTGGTTCAGGGGTGAGTTTTGTCCAAACAGCTGAATGCATAAAAAATCTCCAATGCAAACACTAAGGAGGTATCAATGTCCAGAGATGGAAGAGATAGATGCTCATAACTTGTGTTGAGCTGATTCTGCATGAGCATTCAAATTTGCTAAACCGTATTTTTAAGGACAAGCGAGTGATTTGGGACAGTGATATAACATGCTTTTATAGTTAAAGGCAAAGAATTTTACATATTAGTGTGTGCTCAAAGTGACTCTTCCAATACGGGCCGAGTATAACTACTTGCTCTAATAAAAGGCCGACACTTGTGGCAGCACATTCCAAAATTATCCACTTTTTCTTTGGGGATTTTTACTTTAAGATGTGCATGCTGCCAGTGTCCCCCTAGACCGTATAATACCCCTAACCGTGCTGAACCCAACAAGGTTATGCAGGATTTCAATGGTCCATAGGGGGTTAAGCCCAAAAATTACATTATCGCCTTCGAGATGTTCTCAGTAAACTAGGTATCAAGGTCTAATGTCTCTTGAATGAAAGGCACCGGTACAAGTAGAACTTTTGAGGTTTGCAATTAAAAGAACAAATCCACTAAAGATACGCGCTCCCATGGACAGTTGATGTTCATATAAATGGTCTCTCAAAGACTAGTTTTCGTGTACATCTACGTCACCAAATATTATAAAAATGAGTCCCGTGTTGCCACATATCGTATATTTCTTCCTTCCGCCATGACTTCATATTGACACCCTTTGTGTTTTCCTTGGACAGTCTCCCCCTTCCTAAACTCTAAGTTCATCCAATGCACCATGACTTACAAGGAAAATGAGGAACCATGTGAAGTAACAGTGGAGGATTTATTTGCCTCAACTTGGTACAAAACCTCTGTTGATTTAAAGGTGTGGATGGTAAGGCTTAATACATAAGACTTTATTTAATGGGAAAAATTGCTCAAATCATATGTTCCTTCGTGCTACATACCTCCCCAGTGACATCTGCCTTAGTCTTGAGTTCAGAGACTGTCTCCTTCTCTGCTGCTAAGGCGCTCTGTGTTTTCTTTAGCATAACCTGGAGTTTGGCTGCTGCTGTGCCTAGATCCCTGGTAAGAACCTTCTCCTTCTGGAGACTTTCTTTTAAGGTGTTAATCTCCTGGTGAGAAGAAGGGGGTTAATGGAAGGAGGAATCAATTAGTGATTAGAATGGATGACAAAAACCATCTTGAATACAAATGAAAATTGGGTAACTTCACCTGGTTTAGGATTGATTTGATGACAATTTTAAAGTTGAGACTTTTGCAAAAGAAATAATTATTCCTTGCAAGGGTTACGATTATTTTCTTCTGTCAAGAAAAGTGTAGCTCCAAATAATTTTGGGATCAAAGGTAATTCTGAATGCCAATGTTGCTATGTGTATCTGTAATTAAAGCAGCAAAGTTTTGTCAAATCACCAAATTACATGTTTTTTTGCTACATGCAGTCAGATATGTGTGCTGTCTATACCAGCTATTACTATAATAACATAGGGCAAGTCTTGGACAAACTCTTGATAAACACATATTCCAAAAAACCAGAGAAGTTTGATTGGGGATGTACATGTGAAGCAATTAAGAAATTTGTCAAACAGACCCTTTGCATAAAGTAGCCATCTTGAAGGTTCATTGGATGAATCTTATGCAAAGAATCTATGTTACATTGGAACAGGCAAAGTGGAAACCTTCAGCTGAAAGCCTTTAAGAATTGTTTTAACTTAAGGAGACTTTTTCCTTCTGCAGATGACAAGCGATGGCATTTTTAAAATTAATTTTCACAGTAAATAGTCTGGGTATAAGGCTCACGCTGTTCCAATAAAGCAAGTATCAGCCATACCGATGCAGTTTCCACTGCACCTTTCCAATAAGCCCAATTAAATTGAGGTTAAATTCTAGACAGTATTTTTTCTTACAAGGCAGATGTATCATGATATCTGAGATGGATTTGAGTAGATTCAATTAATATTACAAATAAATATTAATATTTCATTAGCATGAGCACTATTCATGGACAATTTCAACAAAATTACAAGTTAGCAAATGAGAGTGAAATGATGACCATGATTAACAGAACCAAATACCAACAAATAAGCCCATGCAAACTGAAGTAAAAACACTCAAGCATGTACTTCAAGATGACACAAAAATATCAGTTACAAGCATGGTGATACACGATTCACATGTTCAAAATGCTGATTTAACATTTGCATAGAGTGAATTTGCATGCAGCTTTGGAAACAATGTCGGCCACTTTGAATGAATGCCTTTGTCATAACTGTTCTCCCAGATTTTCCTGGTTCTCTTGTGGGTTAATCAATAATGCAAGTTTTTACAGTTAAACAAGGTGCAAAATAGATTAGTGTTAGAGACATTTCACTATATCCTGGAATTTGTATGGCCAAGCATTTCAAACCAAGGGTGCTTAACAAATATTCAGAAAAAAAGTATGTGTGGTAATTGGGTTCATACACCTGTTCACTTGGTGTTATATGCTTGGGAAATAATGGTCTCTGTTTACATACATGTGCATGTAAGGTACATGTATGTGGGCTAATGCAACAAGTCTTTTCAAGATGGAAACACTGCTTAATTCCCACTACATGTAGGAGTCTGCCGTTCCCCATTCAAGTATTCTGAAAGGAACGGGAACATTTCCAGTTTTGTGCTACATCCTTGATAACACAATGAACAGGTGCAAAACAAATAACTGTTGGAGACATTTCACAATTTCCTGGAGTTTGCACAGCCGAATCCAAAGCTGATGATCTAACACTCAGAAAAAATGTATTATAACTAGGCACATACACCTCTACTGCGCTTGGGAAACATGGTCTCTGCCCATACGTGGCTACATTTACCTGTATTTGCCCGTATATGTACATGTATGTAGGCTAATTCAGCAAGTCTTTTCAACACTGCTTACTCCCTACTACATACAGAAGTATGCTGTTCTCCCATCTAAGGTATTCTGAAAGAACAGGAGCAGGAGCTATAAATACTTCCTCATTCCTACATTGTATAAACACATTTGAACAGGTGCTTCATGTACCGTACAAGTACGGTATGCATTGACTCCCAGTGTCAGCAGTTCTGGAGCCAACCACAAGACTCAAAACATACAATGCCATGCAGGAAGCCTGATTTCTTGGCACTGCTACATGTACATGTACCAGCAATTATTTTGACAGGTATTTTATGGAGAAGCAAACAGAATAAAAGGCAGCGCTCTCTTTAGACTAATATTTGCTTAAAACGAGTGACGCCTCACCTCGCTACAACCATGAACTGTTATGGATACAACTTTCCAGGCTAGGGCAATTCCCCTTGAGGTGAAAGTATCAGTGCACTATTTTTCCTCAATAATTAGCACTTTTCCAACCGACAACAGAGCTGCTACGTGCATTTATGACCCTCTTTGTAGCCTGGAATATCCAAACCCACAGACATCTTTGAAAAGTACCAAGGTATGCCATTTCAACTGTTCTTGTACGTGTCCTGTACGTGTACTTCACTTGTGCTCTGTATCATGCACCATACCATAAAAATGAGACCATTGCATGATAACTGTACCACATTTAATGACTTCTGTTATGACCATTATGCTTTAAATTGGTCAGTCTTCTATTTCTCCATTTTGATGCAGTTTTTATCTGACATCAAGCGGATACGCTACTCAGAGTAAACAGAGTACCCGAAAAAACATCAACTACACATATGACCAAGAGCTTAGCCATGATGCCACATACATACAAATATATCTGGCATGCAAGCATGGGGTCACTTGGACCACAGAAAACAAAACCAAGGCATGGAACAAGGGAACATATTGACTGGCTGCTGGCAAGATCCCTGCCATGTACACACTGCAGTAACAGAACGCCTCAACTATGCAAACAGATGGCAGGTGTTTCCCATCACAATTAACAAGAACTTGATGTTTTTAGATTCTAAATTAGCTTGTCACTGACAATGCCACAGACACAATGCGTAGCTGCTTCAGAAACTGTGACAATGATACACATGTATTTCTTAGCAATTTACTTGCAGCAGGGCTGCGAAATGATGGGACATACATGAGGTATGCCAAATGAAAAAGAAAACTTCAACAAAATAACTGTTGAGAAAAACAGAAAAAGGAGAATAAGGAAAAGTGGGTAAAGAACATAGTGGAAGAGATAGACACACTTAAGTATAGAAACACAGGCATAAGGTGTGCATGTGCATTATTCGCAGCTTTATGCTGAAAGCAAAGCAGATGAAAGACACTGACTGATCTCATGACTGGAAAAAGATCTACATGTATAAGCCAAGAGCTCCAAACTGCTCAGGAATTGGTCTCATTTTCATTTTCAAAACTTTAAAAACGTTCAGCTGCTCTAAAAAGAGCGAGCTACAAGACTGAGAAGATGGGGAAAAGAATAATCATGAGATGTTAGTTAATGGCTAGTAGTTAGAATGGATTCTACTGTGATGAAATCAAAGTTTGTCAAGTAAGGTTGTGTTATCTTCTTCCAGTCTGCAATTTTTTTTTAACTATGTTGATAGAATAGCACCCGTACTTCCTGTAGCTTCTGAGTGGATTCCTCACTCTCTTGGAGCTTCTTAGTACTCTCTAGGGTTTCCTGCTGGGCTTTTTGGGATGCCTCTAGCTCTTCTCTCAAAGCTGCCAGACTCTGGTTAGTCTCTTCCTTTTCCTTGGAGATTGCATCTAGGTTTTCTCGCAAAGCAGAAAGACTGTTCTCAGTGTCTTCCTTCTCCTTGGAGATTGCATCTAGGCTTTCTTTCAAATTGGCAAGGCTCTGCTCGGTCTGTTGCTTGTCCTTGGAGGCAGCCTCCAGATCCCTTTGAAGAGCTGCAAGGTTCTGCTCAGTCTCTTGCTTCTCCTTGGAGGAAACTTCCAGGTCCCTTTGAAGAGCTGCAAGGTTCTGCTCAGTCTCTTGCTTCTCCTTGGAGGAAGCTTCCAGGTCCCTTTGAAGAGCTGCAAGACTATGCTCAGCTGCCTGTCTTTCTTTAGCAGCTGCTTCTGCTGTCTCCTCTGCTCTAGAGAGGTTTCGCTTAAGCTCTTGTGCCTCTGACCGAGACTGGACTAGGTCTTGCTGGGAGCTCAGAAGCTGATTGGTGGACTGAGCAAGTTTCTGGGAGGCTGTTTCCAGATCCTGCTTGGTGCTGGTTAATTCTGTTTGTAGTTGCTGAGAAGAGGAACGCAGGGTCTGCAGTTCTTGCTGTAAGATGTCTTTGCTGGAACTGGAAGCTTTACGGAGTTGCTCCAGGCTACGGTTAGCTTCCTCCAGATCAGAGGACAGTTTCTGACTCTTTTCTTGTTCAGCAATTAAGGTGGCTGTCACCTAGCATTCAAGGATAACTAAATTATAATATAAGCACACATGTAGGATTGCAAAGAGATCGACATTTACAAAACAGTGAATCCTGTCTACATGAACTTGAGGATATTCACAGGACAAGAGGCATGTTTTAAATGTTTGATGAATTTCCTCTTTGAATATTGGAAAACGCAATTTATGAGTGTTTCATTTTGGCAACACCAAAATGTTTCAAATCAATGCTTACATTTACCAAAGCACTAGAAATGAAAAGTGGCTATAAGACCAAATGATATCGTGGCAATGTCCTTCCAAATTAAATCATCCTTGCCAGAGACATCCCTGGTACACTCTCCTTGAACCAACAAATTCCCACCACCTTAATATTCCTGTGAATTCCCTAAAATTCCTGGGAGGTATCCATATTTGCAATCCTACGTAATTATTGAAACAAGATAACATACGAAGATATGAACACATGAGCTGAGGGTGGATGGGAAGGGCTGAGAAATACAAGAAATAACTTATCACCTGTATTATCAGCTGATAAGTTACTTCTTGCAGTTGTTACTGTCGGCATATGCAGGGGTTTGTTACTATGCAGGATGTATTATTACAGTGTGTAACACTGGAATCATGGAATAACTGGTTATAATTCACAGAATAGATGATTCGTTAATAGGCAATGATGTGTAGTCAATTCAACATTCACATCTCCAGCACATTTACGCCTCTTTCAATTCAAAATGTGGGCATGCCAATCGTCACATTAATGTCAATGCAATAAATCAAGATGCAATTCCGAATGCTTCAAACAAACAAAACTTGAACTAATTTAAACATTTCCTACCTCCGGAAAAAGTTGGAGCGAAGGACCTACACTATCTTGACATATTGTATGCCCAGGGAATGTAACTGTTTATTGTTCAATTCTGATAACAATCAACACCTAAGGGCCAACTCGTAAACTCTTCGACACCCAAGGGCCAACTCATAAACTCTTCAATACCTTCTGCATTTCTGCAACATCCACACTATTCTCTGCTCTCTGATTAGCTGTATTCAACTCCTCCATCAGTTGCCGGAGTTGATTCTGAACGTCCTTCAGCTCACGGCATGTCGATTCATACTCTGTGGCAGACGCTGACCGCTCCTTCTCCATCTGGCTCAAGCTGGTCCGCGCTGTCTCAAGCTCACTGGACAATCTCTCATTGTCTGCAGATATCTGTAGGGTAACGGGCACATGCTTTACATATGTCTGTGTGGTGTTAGCAACACACGTTATCATCCCAGTGTGAGAAAATCCACGGAGTTTTTGCTTGAACAAATAATCATGTAAATGACAATTTCTTTTTCAATATGATCCTCATTTAGGAGGTAACTGGGCTTAGAGTCTACTGTCTCAACTACTGTCAGTATTAAACTGTTCTGATTTTCAAGGAAGAGAAATTATTAATTTTGAAACATGCTCTCTAATTATGATGAAAATGATGTACATTAATGAACAATTTACATTAAATTCTACAGACGTACTCTAAATATCCAAGTATTGAACTTACCTGCTTCAGCTGGTCTAGTTGCTTGGTTTGTTCTTGTAGTGATGCAATCTCCTTGGTTGCCTGTTGTCATGATGGCAGAGAAAATTCAATGATGCAGGTCATGATGTTGTTGATTTACTATTGAACATGAATGCTTTCTGCTCATCAGTGAATTCCTCATTAGCCTATTCCAATGCATGAACATTCCAGTAACCTGGTGTATGTTATAATTTTTTTTCAGTGAAAAGTTGTATTCCCACAAGCCACTCTTTGTTGATTAGCCCATAACACACCCGTTTATATTAACAAATCTCATTAAACTTTCTGGATCAACAGTTGTATAATGTACTTAGTGCACCAGATGATGATGAATGTACTCTCAGCAAGGTAACTATCTGCAAGCTGTCTTTTTATCCTGCACAGTGGTTTCTGCCGGGCTAAAGTTGATTATTGTGTACTCCAAGAATTGGATAGAGGTACGTATGTACAGGCATGCAACTACATGTAGGAATTCAGCAAAAAAGCAGGAAAATTGAAGCCACACGACTTCAGTACAGCATTTTTCATTTTATAAAGACACACTTGAGAAGTGAAAAGCAAGGAAATCAGCGAGTAAAAGTTACATATCTGGATGTGGCATGTTTGCCACGGGGACATGAGTGCTTCAAAGGGAGACAGGAATTCCAAGAATGTTTGGCTGATAACTGGCAAGTAATTTGAACTTTGACCTACCTGTGCCAAGGCTGTGTCCTTTATTGACATCTTGTCCTGCCACTTCTTCTCCTCAGATTCTACACTGCTTTGAAGTTTATTAAGGATTCCCTCCTTCAAAGTAAAATAATTCCACATATGAGATGTACCTTAGAGTCATGTGACTTTGTAAGGTTACATTTATGAGACCAATGGTCTACAGGCGTAAGTCATCCTCATCAGTTTGAATTACACAAGCACAACCTCCAATTAAAAATGGCACTGAAATTTACTTACTGTATCACTCAGCACTGACTTGTAATGTTGACACTGGCTGACTAATTGTTTCTTTTCTTCCTCCACACTGGACAAGGTGGAAGACAGTTCAGCAACCTAACACACGTACAGATCATGTGATCAATACCATGAAATAAAATAAATCCAGAACATTTGGGAATTTCTACACTTCGTGTTCCAAGACACCAGCACCTGTAATAACTTTCTCAAGAAGAAAATAATGAAGTTTAAATTGAAGAATTGAATGCAAGGTGGTTTCTCACCTCTAATCCTGAGGAAGCTTTTTGTACGGCAAGATCATTCAAGGCATTCTTCTCAAACTGTGATAGCCAGTCTTTATACTCCTAGAAATGAAAAGTTGCCATGGTTTGGATTAAGGGCAGCTCTGAACAAAGACTCATGATTAGTTAACCAGCTAGTCACATCATAAGGTTTACCAACTAGAAATGGTCAATTCTACGGCACCAGAGTCATAACAACTCTTCATGTAATTCCCTCCCAGGATTTTCTGTGGAAGCTGACCAACTTGTACCCGTGAAACAAGTTGAAACCAAATAGCAAGACCCCTTTGTGCTCCTTTACCAATTTCAACCTCCATCCCTATATACCTGTATCCCATGCTGATGGATAAACAATCAACAAGGGCAGTGGTATATTACAGATGATAACCCAACTTACCAGAGTGGCATCAATGTTAATATCAGGGAACATCCTCATCAGCATGCTCTTGGATGCCTCCTTCTCCTTGTATAAACATGCATCCAGTTCCTCCTGGTAAGGACAAATTGAACAAATAAGAGGATTTAAAAGCATTGCCTCGAAGTGAATTATAATCCCTTTCCTACTCATACTGTGATAATATAAAGGTGAGCCCCTTTAATCCAAAGGGAGGCTTTTCTTTGATCTTTGAAGGTTTAAGAGAAACATGTCAATTTTAGTTCCTTCTTGAAATGTTCAGCAATCATTATTATATCCAACATATTGTTACTTGTACTGAAAACATGTTTGTGTAGAAGCCAAGGATTCACAATTAATCCATACAGACTAGTTTAACTCTAAATTTTTGTACTTAACTTGTTCTTAAAAATATTCCCATGAATGACTACATTTAGGATCAAAGGAGAGATGACCAACTAGTTAATTACCACTTGAGTTCTCAGTGGACTGAGGTACAAACCAATATAGAAATAACTTCTGAAAATGAAATGCCTTACATAAATGCTAGAGTAATCCTCTGCATGGGATTCAAAACAAAACCTGTACTTTTCTTCAACTTGGCAATTTGAAGTAACCACAGCCTTGATGAACTTCATTTAATGCAAAATAATTTGGAATATACATGTACAAGTTGTCGTCTTGAAATTCTAAAGACAGAAAAAATAAAAATATTGCTTTATTTGCCTTCTTTACCTGAGTAGAATCCATGAAGTAATCTTTGGACTGTGTAATAAATTTTAGTTTTGTAAAACAAATGCATCTTTAAATTTTTGGGGGTCTTCTTTTGAAAAAGGGAAAAATGTAACAAAGTACAAATATCTGAACTGAAAACATCAAAATTCTATTAACATAAAAGGGGCAACACTAAACTATCGACCTGTCACAAATACAAACTTAACTGCACATTACAGAAGCAAAAACGACATGATGAATTACACCTTTATGTGTGACTAGCAAGCATTTTGTAGCATCCTAAAACAAATGGTGTTTCTGATAAAATATAACTGGGCATGAAGTGACAAAAACAGAAATATCTACAGGTAACATTTTCAGAAAACACAAGAAAGCAGCACCCAAAAATATTTCGTGTGCATTGAATTCTTGCACATGTACATGAGTACCTTCTGTCTCACTGACTACATGTACAGGTGCATTTTTTAGCTCACTTATGTTAAAATCCCCTCAACCTTACTAGAATCTTGCTTTTCTAATGCAAAAATATAATTATGCTACCATACTTAAAGTTCTTGATTAAAGTGAGCAATACATTACAATCCTGACATTTCAAAGATGTGTTAGTATGACTGTCATGTCTCCTTTTAGTGAGGCAATGCAATAGAAAGCAGTTTGAACGGTAAAGGAAACAAATCTTTTTAAGTCAGGAGTTAGAAAGAAAACAACAAATTAATCGAACATTTTGCAGTATGGTATTAGTTGCATGTACATAAAAGCTTTTTTTAATATCTGAAAAAGGTCTGCGTTGCCTGTTCACTGTTAACAATGTAAACCCCTTTTAAGCGTTACAGTGGGAACTGACTAAATAGTAAACAAAACCTGGATGGATGCCTCTTAGTTAACAAGTAATGAACATTCAACCTGCTACTATCATCTGACAAACAAAGATAAAACAAGAGAGCTGTGTTTATCATGCAGTTTTCCAAGCAAGCAATAGGTGTCAAGTTAATAGAGCAATGACATGTACACATTTTACCAATGCCTCTCTATTAGTGAATATGTCATGCAATTCAAGGTGCTGTTCACAAAACCATTATTGCTCCATTAGCAAAATGCTTGTTTATAATGAATGAAATGGAGACTTTGATTTGGTGCAATGTAAGTCAGGCACACCAGGTAACTCATCAACAATTTATGACTTAATTTGATATCACTAATACTAACGAAAGAGTTGATATGACTCAACAATTTCATAAGCAAGACATTCAAGGTGATTATTGAGTGGACGTGTCTCAAAACTTTATTGGATGAGTTAGACCCTTGGTGTTACTTAACTAAGATGTAATCAAGTAATGCATTTGCAGTTTCTGGCTTCAGCATTGTGATCTTTTATGCACTTACAAGAACCCACATTGTTGAATTTGGGCAACAAAATGCTAGCAAATAAAAATGAAAAAACAAACAAATAAACAAAAAATCAAACCCTCTTCCCCTCAAAAAACCCCTGCCAGTTCAACTTTCAACCCTTCTTGTAAGTTAGCTGCAGTAAGGATTACGTACAGCATAATCTATTTGAAATGAATAAGGATAACTACATTTAGTTTAGGCTTGCATGAGAGGATTTACACTCTAGATTATGAATGTGGACAGTTCACAAACTTGCCTTCCCTCAAAGGTAACTACATGTACATGTAAGAGAGACTAAGTTGACTCTTGTGTAGAACTTGTCCCTATCTTGCAGTCGGTGCTTCTTTCCACATGAACATTACCTGTGCTTAAATGTACGTATGTGTCACTTATCCAGCGAGTTAGAGAAATGGCCGCTGGATATTGTTTCAACTGAGACTGAGATTGGTCACGTGTACATGTACATGTATCCGGGTAGTACACATGTACATCACATGCAAAGCTCATATGGACCTATGCAACCATGTAATGTGTCCCCATGAAAGACCGTATATATAAAAACATGCTACATGTATTTCTCAACCTCACTTAGAACAAATATCGTGTGTCATTTGTACACAAATTCAATACGTGTACATATACTGCAGAGCACCGTTATTTGGCCATGCAGCCCTATGACATCTACTTAAAAATACATTTTGATTAAAAAAATGCATGTAAATGAAAACCATTTCAAATACACATGAAATTTAAAATTAAAACAAGAAATGGAATTAGAAAAAAGTCCACCATCGTTTTCATATTTATATTTAATTATGTTACTACACTGTTAAGAATTTCTACTGTATATATCAGTAGAAAATTCATTGTGCAAAATTACTATGCCAAGCACCAATCAGGGTAGAATTATAAGTCTTAATTTTGTATTGAACCCTAAAGTTACACAAACATGGCTGGAATCCCATCGAGCAAGTCAACATTAGTACATCCCTAAGAACCCTAAAAGTGACCTTTGCATTACCTCTAGGCTCCAAAGAGCAACTTCTTGCAGACTCTTTCAAAATAAAACAGAACAAAAACAACACAGAAAAAGAAATTTTATGATTTTGCTTGAGGCTTCGTATTGATAGCTAGCACTGGTGCACATCTGCAGTGAAGCACAGTACTGCAATGAAGAAAAAACCAGCATGCAACAGACATGTTTGTTACATGACAAGGTAGAGTAAGAGCTCGTGCTATGAGATACATTGTATCTAACCTTCTCTTTCTCCAACGCCTTGGCCACTTTCTCTTCGCTAGTTTTTTCAGCAGCCGTGAGGGCTTCCATGGCCTTCCAATTTTTCTCCTGAAGTTTCTGCTCATTTGGATACATAAAATGCATCATTTCAGACAAAATTGTTGTACAAATATAAGTTGGTGCTTAATTTGCTGTTTCCCAGCTGCCTCCTCACAAGCATGATGCACTGTAACCACGGTGATCTGCCAAGTGCAAAAAACCCAAACCTGCTTCATTTTAAAAGTACGCCTTTACATTTTCTTAAGCATAGCAAGCGTTTTTTTTTTATTGCAGAAATGCTTTTTTGTTGATGCCTCACCGTTATTTTCATGAAAACCAGACACACTGTTTTCAAGACTTTTTGAACACAGGTACATTGTACATGTATATTGTACATGTACGGCAGAGGTAAAAAATGTACTGACTGTGCAGAAAAGAATAGGCTCATAAGATTAACCACTTAAAGCTGGATGACATGTAAACACACATAATTTTCCTTATTTGTTCCACGAAGGACATGTACTCTTGTTTAAGAACTCTTTTTCACTTTGCGGTTCACGTATTAACATGTCGTACTTGGTTGGGTCAAAGCGCAATTGCAAGGTTGAAGAATTTATGGATAAAAAACCCGCTCCCAGCAGATATTTCGGGTAAGAAAATCTGACTTTAACTGGCTATCAAGTACTAGTAGTTATGTTATTTATTTTAGAGAGGCACAAGCTACATGCATCTTTGTTTCACAAATGTAATTACATGTACATTATACATTAACCCTTCATGTTATTTGCTTGATACAGCACCTCAAACATTGTGCTTGGTATCTTTCATGGTTCTGTTAGTGTTAGGCTTAATGCTATTGATTCCAAGTGACAAAGCAAAACTTTTAATTCATGTTAAAAGCAGCAGTTACTCAAAGGATGAAAAAAGCAGCGAGAAAGCAAACGCGAAACACCAAAACATAGAAAAAAACTAGGATAACACAGAACAATTTCAAATATATAGTGTCATTAACCCTGAGGTAAACTGGTTTGCTTTTGAATCCACAAGCATCCAACAACAAAGCAAAGAATTCTGATCTCAGCAGCTAGAGGACAACAGTTCTCATTTATAGGTCAAGTGGTACTGTCAACCAATATTTACAGTTTGTTGAAAATATGTAACATACATTTTAGAATTCTTTGCTGAACTGTGCACACATACGGTACCTTTTAGGAGTCACTAGTAGACTAAAGCTTTTATTTAAATTGGATGGTAAAAATTTCTTTTCTCTTTTGTTGCCAGCAGTTTTGAAAATTATAATCACTTTGGTTTTTGGAAGAAAGATACAAGTATTTACTATTGAAGATGTTTGAGTATTTTTCCTAATATGCTATTATTTAGAAAGACGGCTTCAAGATTCTGTAGTTATGAATTCTGACCCACTGACTTCAAATGAAATGAAAAAGAACTGTAAAAAGTCTCCACAATTCTGAAAAACTAGCTGGAAAGAAAAAGGAGAGGGTAAAATTAGCTCTAAAAGTTGGGCTCAATGCCTCTTGGACAGTCACTCAACTGCCTGATCAGTACCAGTACTGCACATCATGAGAACTATCATAGACATGTTGACCACAGAACTCTCCGGGAAGATCGGTCCTTGCAGAAATCGCACAAAAATACTTGGGCTAAGCAAAAAGACTACTTGGCTTCCCCCCCCCAATTTTCCCATCAACCTGTTTTTTGCTTACCCTATTAGCCTTTTTGAAGCATAGCGGACATAACAGGAGGGCACTATTTAAAGTGGGTAAAAATTGGAGTAAACAAATAGCGCCCTCCTGTTGTCTCCGCATCCGCCATACCTCAAACAGGAAAATGAAATATTCCCACAGTGAACACAGGAGTTCAAGCAAGAACTCAAGCTGATATGCACGTAAAGTTTTATGGTACATGGTATTTTACAAGTGTATCAATAGGTTTGCTGCACATCATCCGTCAAGCAATGAATAACATCATGAATGCGCTACCAATATTGAAGTGATAAAGCCTCAAGAACCAGGAAAAAATGACAAAGAGCAACACCTTGTTTTGTGCATGAGTAAACAGAGAGCAAAGTGCGTGCACTGATGAACAACCTTCACACTAAATTATTTCAAGGTTACACTACTGATGGCATGTCTTCCTTTAAGCAGTACTTTACAGATGCCTCCTACCAGCGATGTTCAGATTCTGGATATCCTAGAACATTCTGACTTACACTGGGGTATGCTTCACAAATTCATCACCTCCGCAGCATTGTTACAGAGGTCTCCATTCGGCTCGAATGATCAGCAAGGAATGACCGGGATCATGCAACCCAAAATGTGTGCCCCAAAGCAGCATTTGATACAAAGCAAACATGGAGAAAAAGCAACCTTTGCAAGAAAGCTAAAGCTGACTTTTTAGGCCAAAATTTGTGTAAGACAGACACTAACCCCTCTCCCACCCAATCTGTAAAAGGCTACATGTTCAGATCAGGGGCAAGATTGGAGGAAAATGAAACATTCATGAAATAATAACCAGAGGTTTTAAGTGTCCCACAGCAGCATAGGGTCTATGGTATACATTGGTGTTTCTCTGGCAAAACCACTCATTTCTTGTGTTCAGTAGACTGTATCCACTTTTATATACAAACACATCATAGTGGTAAACTTAGGATTTCAAAGATATTGAAACAGATTGTTAGAAAATTAAAATAGCCTGAATTCAGAAAAATCTGAACAAATTCCCCTCCCCGTCAGATATGACTTGAATCTGCTTTCACTGATCTACATGACATTGTTTCCCTTCTAATCATTGGGTCATATGCAAATGTAACTTGAATCCTATTTTAATGACTTACATTGTTCCGTTGTTTCTGCTGCTCTAACTGTTGTTTAAGTGTCTCCATTTCATTCTCCCTGGACGAGATTTCACCTTGCAATGTGGCCAATGCTTTTTCCTTCTCATTGATGCTGTGAAGGAAACAGGATCAACAGGACAATTTATATAGGAGCTGTGTTATCATTAGGTTGCTTTTCACAAATCTGAAATAACTCTTTGGCATTGAGCAAGATTGAGCTATTATCTGGATTACGACTGTGCCATTTTTAAATCATAAAAAAGATTACAGAAATAAAGGCAGAGGTACGTGTAATCACAAATCCTGAAATTCGTCCCTGTGCAATTCCTTCTACCCCTGAGCCCTGGGCTTCTATTGGAGTAATAAATCCCTCTAAAACCTCTCCGTGATTCTAAGGCATACAGGTGAAAGGGTCAATATTAAAGCAGGTTGAATGCTAAATAATCTAATTTCCTTCTTCTTTTTCCACAAAAGAATAATTGCCTCAAACCCAACAACTGGGAAAATGAAAATACAACCCGTGAGGAAGGTTGTACATGTAACAAGAAACCACACCTGGGGATTGGACCAGAAGGTATAAAGGGTAAGCAGTGTGACTTTATCAGTTCTTGCCGGCCAAAATGTCTTTTGCTTGTCTTCAAGTAACCAAAAGATGGCCGGGCTATAAAAATGAGGGTTATTTCTTGTCTTGGACCTACATGTTCTCATGTTCTTTCTTCAGGATAACATCTTCCTTGGGTTCCTCTTTGCCCATATCTCCATTGGGTTTCATTGCTTCAACTGCCTGGGTAAGTTCCTGTATCTTGGCTTGTAACTGGGACTCCAGTGAGGTGTTGGTATCTCTCAGACTCTACTCAAGGAGACAAAAGAAATACAATGCTTTATATGTGACAATGACATGATGGATGCTTTATATGTGACAATGACATGATGGATGCTTTATATGTGACAATGACATGATGGATGCTTTATATGTGACAATGACATGATGGATGCTTTATATGTGACAATGACATGATGGATGCATCATATGTGGCAATGACATGATAGAAAAGCTAT